GAGCAATGATTGATTTATGGAATGATGAAATGATTCAAAATTGAGTGATAAAAGAACTCATATATTGCTTTTGGTAGTGTACAGCAGAAATGGACGAATAGCGTAATGAATGTTATAAGTAATACAAATAACTGAGTGAGAAATATTTGAAAAGAATCTCTAAGTTGCTTCATGTGTGGGATATATTTTTCATTTGAAATTCATCCTCAACATGAAATAATTATTGTAATCTCTTAATTTGATCTTTTTTATGATCTCGTTTAACTAGCCTAATATAATAGATATGATAGTGGAGTTTTAGTTTTCTATAAGATTTCAAGATATGACAAATAATGCGATACAACTGCTACATATTTCAATAATTTTTGATCAAAATTAAATTTCTCGCGATGTGATAATGTTCCAAAGATACCAATGATATATATAATCCAAATGTTGTAGTTTAAACTTATCTAATCAAAGCTGATCAAATGTTGTTGTATGTTCTGGCCATGTTTTTGGTATTGCCTCAGTTTGCTCAAAATTCTCAAGTAACCGTCGAGCAATTTCAGGACATTACACATCTGTTTTCCATTCTTATTATCTTAGAAGAGATCGATGAAATGCTTCATATCAGATTTTCGAATAAAGTGAATGAATCATTCCATCATCAAATAAATATGAAATTATAATCAATTTTTTTCTTTTTTGCTTTTGAGAAATATTTCGAAGTACTGTATTTGGTGAATAATATCTTGCAAATCAAGTAGAATGCCTTTTCATGATGTTGAAAGTATCGATTAAAGTTTATTTCTAATATCGTAATAACAAATTTTAATTCCCATAGAATTAAGCTTGAATGCTTTCAACTCATTCTTCTTTAATAAAATCGAAATTGTTATTTGTGTTGTTACAAGGAATGAGAAATATTAGATGCTAAAGTGATACGATCGATGTATACGAAATACATGAACGTATTGATGGACTATATTAAAATCTCTCTGCATTATATTCAGTGTAAGTTGTGTGTGTGTTTGTATGAGAGAAGAGAGGGCAAAATTCGTCCATTTCATCATTTGCTTTAATCTAATCCGATAAGTTAATTTTCTCAGTAATTACAGTTTAATCACATGGTGCATATTATAAATTGGAATGAAGTGAATAAGAAACTTACCAAATTAATCGTTGAAAGATATTTGACAGAAAGGGAGGAAAAGAAGGACATTTTAGATGTTTGAAAAACTTAAATGCTTTGCATGAAAATGTGCATAATATCACCATAAGGAATGATTGGATTTTATGCACAGTTTGATGCTAAGCATTGAAGCATTGAAGTGAAGTGAAATACGGTATAAAAGGTGTCATGCAGAAGAGAGACATGCCAACTGTGTCATCACTTGCAAACATATAACAGACTCTTTGCTTGTAGCACTTCACTCTCCATCCTCCCTTCTTTATGCCTCCTATACAAACCAAAAAAGGAGTCCTTAGCTTCCTCTTATCTTATCAGTTTCTATCAAATGTCATCTTTGTGTATTGCCAACAGATAATATTTGTCCTCCTTTTATGCTTACCAAAATTTGTAATTTTCGTACGCTGGTTTCTTTGCTTCCCTAATCGCTGCTGTTTAAAACTTTACAAGCCAATAATATATTTGAAATATCTGTATTGATAGAAAGGCTATCTTTTTAAAATGATTGCTCTTTATTTTTGTTACCAGTTACCCAAAAAGCCACCAAGAGGAATGAAATATTTCACATTATGATGTTGTGTTAGTTCCAACGCTTAACTTTTCCGAAATGTCAATGTAAAATGTATAAGTCTGTAGTAATTTAAGCAGGCTTAGACTAAAAAAAATTGTCTAATTCTTGGAAATAACAGCTGAGGGTTGAACTAGATTTATTTTAAAAACCTTTTATTTTTTATCTGCGACTTGTGCTAAGTGGAAAGCCTTCATTTTTATGAACTTTATTTTATACATGTCGCATTGTGCATTTCATATAGGATTACACACATTAGCTCTATTTGATGAGTTTTATTTCAATGATTCGTGACCGAAGACAAATATTTACAGAGGATCATCCATCATTGAAAAAATAACAATTTCTTCAAGAAACGCTGCCCAGAACTAGCGTTTCTCATCAATCAAAAAATGAATAACGACCGCAGCAACAATCAGTGCTCAAAAAAGCACGATATAACACAATAGTAACAAAAAAGTACAGCAAAATCACAAATCAAATGCAGAAGCCTCTACTTGATCAATTATACCAAACTGCTTGGCCTCTTCTGGACTCATATATCTGTCACGATCTAGTGCTTCCTCAATTACTTTGACATCCTGTCCTACAAACACGGCAACAGGAAATAGAGGAAGCTTTAACATACTTACTACATGACAAAATCGGTTTTTACTATTCTTCAATAGAAATGGAAAAACAAAGGATTCTCCAATTTAGTAGGGAAACTAGCAACAGATGCCTGCGTAATATTTCTCGGGCACAACAAAAAAACATAAACAGATCAATCGGGAGCAGGATTAATAAATTGCTCCCTCCCACAAAACTTAGTAAGGATAAATTGCATAAAACAGAATGAATTTAAGTCATTCGATAGCCATATTAAAGCAAGTTTAAAATCAAGGAGTATCACTATTCTTAACAGAATAATCAAAATTTTCATGCAAATGTTAACAAGCCTTACCTGTGTGAACAGCATAAATTTTATTCAATCGTGTTTTGATTCTACCAATTTCTTCAGCTCGAATCAAAATATCGGATGCTTGGCCCTTAAAAAAAGCGAAAAAGTCCATGATTCAATATGAGCTATTAAATATTTAAATTCCAGAGACCATTGAAGTAGCAATTGAATTATGGAAACAATTGTAGAATGAGGAATATAAAACAATTAGTAAATGTGTACCTCGGCGCCACCGCTAGGTTGATGAACCATTATACGAGCATTGGGTAATGACGTTCGCATTCCTTTCGTACCAGCAGAGAGCAGAAGACTACCCATACTTGCAGCCTAAAATTTCAAAGACTTATCATCAAATAATCAGCTCTTTGTCCGAGTAAACAGGGTAACTGAGAGTGGAAAGTCGGAAAATGGAAACGATAATCATAATTCATTAAAAAAAAATGAAAGATGCAGTTTGTTAGAATGTTTCACCTGGCCAATACACCAAGTTGCTACTGGAGCACTGATATATTGCATCGTGTCATAAATGCCTAAACCAGCAGTTACACTGCCACCTGAAAAATGATTTGAATCTTTAAATTAAAATTTGATTTGACAGTAAGAACAATGAAGGTAACAAATGTAAAAGAATTTATTTACCGGGACACATTATATACATATTGATAGTGCTCTTCGCACTTTCACCTTGCAGAAAGAGAAGCTGTGCAATAATGGAAGCAGCCACCTGGTCATTTATCTGAAATACAGTTTGTATAACACGAAAGCAAATGCTTTTCTTCCCTCTCTTCTCATCTAGCAACATTTCATTATTGAACTCAATGCACTACGACAATTTACGCAATTAATTAAATAGTCCATAATGAGATGATAAAAATGAACTAAATCTACCATCATCTAGCGTTTGACAATGCCACAAGAATATATATAAATGAAGAATGGATTAATAATATCTAACAAACAAACCGGTGTCATCACGCAAACAATACGATCTTTGAGCAATCGTGAATAAATGTCATAAACTCTTTCAACACGGCCATCCTGATCGACCACCATTGGTATCGTTTGTGGCCTCCATAATGAGCTGTGCAACTGCCGATGAGAAAGTAACTGCCGAGTAAACGATAATCCTCTCATTCTGAAATTATTTTCGTTTTGAGCATTTTCATTTGATACGATAAAGGGGAATATCGCTTTCCAGAGATTCTCATTGAAACAGCTCCTACACGACCCAAAGAGAGCATGAGGATGACTTAAATATGAGAAGAATGAAATAACAATAAATAATGAATGACCTAGTGAATTAATGATGGGAAAGAATTCTCCCATACAATGTTATTACGTCCCATTGCATAGCTAAGGCTAATCGAAGATATGAAAAACATTTCTGATGATTAGGAAATCTTGGAAGAAAATTGTCCGAGCGACAAGTAGAGATTGAATGGGCAACCATCTTTTTTTGCTTATGTAGTACATATTAAAAATTATAATATTGAGATTTTTTTCACATCCTGCATCAATATACAGATTTCGGATAAAAGAAAGAAGATAAAGTACAAAACCGATAAACTCTTATATTTATACCTTTTCCCGTTTTACCTTGAACAAAAACTGCCATGCCTTCTGAGACGATTTAGAAATTGGTGGTTGTTTCAAATTATTTCTATCTAAAAGCGAATAAAACATATCATCAATTTGTCATCCATTATTATTAACAGCCCTATCAAAATTCCGACAAATCAACGCTTGAGCAGTTTATTTCTAATTTTTCCACAGATTCTATAATGTAATCAGCTATGAAACGGAGAGTAAGTAATGGAACAAGCTTTACTGATCCAGTGAACAACAACCTTATTCCATAATTTCACTCGAAAAATCACGCTAATTCATATAAACATACCGGTTTTTGCATAAGCTTATATCACCCATATTCAAGTAATCATTCTTAACACCACCGGAAATTAAAAAGATCAGAAAGGTGATAATACATTTCATGAAAAAGAAATGGAAATACAATAATCAAAACACGAATTGTTCACTGCAAGGAACTTAATTTTGCTTCAAGAGAACCTTCGATGACCACAGAAACGGCAATGATTGTTTTATTTTTACATAAAATCTTTATATATATTTCTAAGTCATCATAGTTATGCATACAAAACAAATATATCCCAACTTGCAAACAAAAGAGAACCTTCCGTGCAAACGCAAACTATCAGTAAAGAGATTTACTGGTAATTTTCTCAGCAAGAATAAAACTACTAAAAAATCGATCATCAATATGGAATGACATGTATGGGAAAAAAACATTAAATAACTACGAATCAACGGAAATCATCTGGGTTGAACAATCCTCTGGCTCTGCTCATTATGCTGTCCTGAAAAAATACTTGCTACATGTAAAAAATCCAAAGACGTAATATTCAAGGTATTTAAGACGATGTTTGGGTATCTTGAAAAGAGATTTTAAAAATCTCAACAAAAAAGATAAAAGACCTTAATACTGCAACCAGATAAATTTCTATCCAAAGGAAGTAGATAAATGAAATTCGAACTATTTTTGGATTTTACTAAAATGGAAATGGACACAACCAAACGTTTGAGCAGATGGTAAACATCCGAATTGCTTAACATGTAATTTTTCAAATCAGTCACTTATAGAAAGCAAATGTAAAGACTTAAACGAGAACTGAACTCTGCCACTCCCAACTACAAACTAATTATAAAAGAGACACAAACAGCTGAAATGTTCAAAATAACCTTAGATGGGTCGTAAGGAGCATCCTTCGATGGAATTTCCAATACCGCCGGTATACTAGCGGTATATTCGTCAACAGCAAAACGTATTTGTTCAGCAATGTGTTGATTGATCAGAATTATCGCAATATCACTACGCGAACAAAAATCTTTGAATGTTTCCTCTATTTCATTAACTGTTGTATTTTTATCCACAATTAAATAATTTGGTCGGCGAGCCTGAAATGAAGCGTGTTATTTCAGCTTGGAAACTGAAATAAACCAGTTCTTGGCTTTCTTAATAAACTTAATACGAAACAACTTTTTCGTATATGAACATGAAAGAAATGCGAAACACACCTTATTGAGTTCACCTATTCCGCCAAGCAGAAATCCGACCACAGTATCTTCATCGCCAATCACCGCAATAATTTTCCCTTTCGGAGTAGAATGAGCCATCTGAAATGATTATTTTCAAAAGACTGCCTCAAAATAACAAAATTAACAGTGAGAAAAATATCCACTAATACATACCGAATACATCATCCCAACTACCAGGAAAAAACACCAAATGATTCCCGAACAAGACAAAAGATTGAAAGTCGAGTAGCCAAAAATCAAGGGAAACGGACGATTGCATTACTATTGCATTTTTTGTTTACTTCTTTGTTCTTATCTGTTTATTGTTTAGAATGTTAATGAAGATGTTTTAGAATATGAGAAAAAATAACAAACTTTAAGATATTCTCATTGAAATGGAAAATACCTTTTTAGTAGCGTCCTTTTATACCTTTCAACAATGCCTTATTACATCCCATTCAATCTTTTCCGCTATTCTCTTTTCCTTTTCTATCTCACTAAAATACATACTGTCATTCTTTTAGCACTCCTACAGATCGTATCCATGGTAAAAATGTTTTTGTTCCACCACACCACTTCTGTTTTCCTGGTAGTTGTAATTTTTTACAGGTGCTATTCTTCGAAGCAGAATTTTTTTTAGACTATATCCTTCATATCATATCTTCATTTATAATTATCAGAACTGAGTGGCATGTTGTAAAGAGTACGGCAAAAATTGATCGAAATGAGAAGCACGCGAATAAAGAATTGCAAGCAATCCTATCTTTTCCAGAGAGACGGAACTAGGAATTGAAACACTATCTGACTGATAATATACTATCATTGTGTTAGAAGAATGGTGTATGATAATGAAAAAACTTGATAAGAATTGCAGGGGATAAGTATTAGAATAAGTTGAAAGTGTTAACTGCAGATATTTCAGAAGATGAAGGTGGAAGTGCAATTTATTCCATTCCCACTGAATGGTTGATTGATTGTATTTTCAGGTATTTTTAATATCTGCAATGGCTTCGACTTCTGCTGGCAAATCATTAGTGGAAACGGATTGTACGCAGCATAACCCTTTGGTGGATTTATCGAGAAGAGTTATTGAGGGAGGTTTGGATGAAGACTTCGAAAACATCTGCAGTCAATTTTTAACCGAGAGTTCAAAGCATCGGGACGTAAGTATTGCCGATGAAGTATATCCATTTAATATTTATTCTAAATTACATTGTATAAAAGGTACTTAGTCATTTCATTCAGCAATGGTTCGATCAGATCTGAAGAACAATTTTGAAAATTAATCACACTAACTCAACCTAAATACAGATATCCGTGAATTTCACGATTGGTTAAGTCTTCGTTTTGTTGTCCTTTAACCTGAGGAATTCTTGTAGTACATTTAATTAATTGGAATTTCCTTTGGCTTCAGCTGCACGATGAGTACCTGATAAATCTTACAATGTCTACCGCCGTCCCACAAACAACCAATTTATACGAATTGGTTGGTCAGATGGATCCTACACAAAGCCTAGCGGAAACGTGGGCTGAGGAATACATAGCAGGACAGCAACAATCCAAGAATTTAGTTGAAAAATGGGCTGACGAAGCAGAACAAGTCAATTATTTACCAGAACAATGGGCTAAGGAGTTTTCCAGTTTAAGCCTTCATGAGCAGGCAACTGAAGACAAAGGCAGAGCCAAGTATGTTATTAATATGGGTCTCAGATTCTCAGTATCAGTATCTCTGAAATAGGACAGATCCAAATACTTTGTCTCTCTGACTTACTGGTCATGAGTATTTTTGCGATTAAAAAATAAGTTTTTGAAATTTTTTAGAAATTATTTTAAAAAATTTTCAAGATTATATTGCAGGGATGAGTCCGAGATGTGGGCCACTGAATTTCTCGACGAATTCGATCAGAAATTGCAGGTGAACAAAGAATTTGCACCAGAAGCTAGTTATTGCACTGTAAAGTTTATTGATAATAAGATAAAAGACATAAGATCTCTCAAATTAAAACTCATCCCGTCAGTTATTAATAAAGGATGCTACTTTTTCAGGAGACGGTCTCTCCTTCTGCAGTGGAAACAAATGCTAAAACATTTGCAGGAAGGTAATATCCATTTATTTACGCTTTAACTCACTTTGGCACTGCTCTATCCCAATAGTGGCATCTGTATTTGACGTTTCGACGATATAAAACAAAATTTGTACAATACTTGAAATGAATGTCACACTGTATCGGATTACGAACCAAATCGCAGTTGATACAGCAGATCGTTTTTGTTTATTTAATTTGTTAAAGTCGAAGTTTTAAGAAAACTGTTAAAACAAATATTCGTTTCAGGACACCTGTTGATGAAATATATGTTTTTGAAAGAACTAACCCTTATCTCAGAGAAACGAATGCACTTGAAAAGGGACAACAAGCGCTGGATACTGGCATGATAGTTGATGCTATTTTATATTTTGAAGCTGCTGTACAGCAGAATCCGGAGAATTTTGAGGTTTGTTTGTTTTTCTGTCGTTCGAAATAGTTTATAAGTAGGATGGAATATTTGATGCTGTTTTGTTAAATGGAATCTGTGATGCTTTTTAGCTATTTTTATAGGGAACGTGTACTCTTCAGAGATATACAAATTCCTTTTGTTAAGTTTGTAATTATTTCTAGCCGTCTTTAATATTTCGAAAAATTTTTCTTTAACAGAGCTGGTTTCTACTTGGAAAATGCCTAACTGAAAACGAGAATGATAGGCAAGCAATTGCTGCTTATAAGCAAGCTTTGAACTTACAACCAGAACAAAAAAAGGTAGTTTTTGGCTTTTCTAAAATTGAAATTTAAGGTCCGTGTAATACGCAGACTTTTCCATGTCTAGGGAAGTATGCATATACATTGGCTTATATGAAATATAAAATTAGGTTTAATACTCCAAACTTCAATTATTCTTTATCGGACAATATTTGATACTTGAAGAATTTTATGAATGAAACATTAATTAAGATAGTGGTTATTAGAAATACCATTTTTATTGGCGAAGCGTGAGAATGCCGATTACAAAACCACTGCTTCACATTCATTTTATCTTTTTGAATATGTATAATTTACTGGTTTTATGAGGAGTGTAATTAGAAATTGTGTATTTCTCATTATCAAAAATTGGAATAAACACATGCATATATATATATATATATATATATCACGTCTTATTTGGATGGTGATATATATATATATATATGTATATATATTATATATATGCCTCATGATTCTCTTTCAACCTCGCTTTTGGTTGGCTTTGTAGTTCTGAGGCACACATTTCTACATTTCTTTTGTCATATTTTCTTCATTTTATAGATACAACTTCCTCTTGCCACAGTTTACATAAACGAATGTATGGAATTAGAAGCATTAGAAGTTTTGAAGCAGTGGATCACGTCTTATTTGGATGGTGATTCGACTCCGCTGGAATTCAAAACTGCTCCAGACAGTCTAATTGAGGACCTTACTATTCGAACACAACAGGTTATCCGTAAAGTCGTGATTTTCTGTCAACCTCTTATTACTTAATAAATTAGTATTATGAAGAGTGTCACTAAAATTAAAATAAAAAAAACAATTTGCCGGGAAGGGTTGGGATGTTGGACTTCACCTTTAAGATAAAGACGGTTTGTAGTACAATACGACTAATATTAGCTATCCGGTGAAAATGCCCGTATTTTTGGATTTGCATGACTTTTAATGAAATAGGCCCAATAGAAAACAAGTAAATTAGTTACTAAAATTGTCGAAGTTATTGGATTTCCTTCACGATCGCCGAAATAATAGAAATCATAGAAATAACAAGGATCGTTAACAAATTCATAATTTCCAATGATGCTAATGCTTAGGTGGAAGAGCTCATCCAAAAAAATCTTTCAAACGCTGAAACAACTGATGAAGCAACGTTTCACAATGCGTTAAGTTTGGTGTATAACATCAAGGGTGATTATAATCGAGCTGCACAAGAAGTGGAATTGGCGCTTGTGTACAACCCTAAGGTTTGTATGATTGCAGCGCATAGCATGAAAATATTTTTCTGGATTTTCTAAATTTCCAAAAATTTGTAATATGTTGTCTTACTTCACTAAAAGTTGAGGATGAGGCTGTCTAGTTGTGAGTGCAATACATTCTCGTGAACGGTACGACTGCCAGTCGACTTGATCATGCTTGAGCTAACCATAGGACTCTAATATCTGTTCCTTTCATGTAATTTGTCTATTGATCAGGCTGACTGTAGTTCTTTTGAGCCTCAGTGGAGAGTAATCAATAAAACATATTTTGAAAAAATACGTTAAAATACATTAATAAATTGTTGCTGGAAAACATAGATAAATTTATCCGAAATATTGTAGGACTACGTACTTTGGAATCGTTTGGGGGCAACACTGGCTAATGGTAAACGCGCCGCGGAAGCAGTTGCTGCTTATCGCAAAGCTCTTGAAATTTGTCCGAATTATACACGTGCTCGTTGTAATCTAGGCATCGCTTGCATTCAACTGCAGAACTACAAGTATGTGTGCCTTCATTTATTTCTGCTGCTCTTATTTTCGCAATTAATTTTGGTCAGATTTTAAATTTCAATTCATTCATGTTTTTTAAAATAAACAGAATTGTGTTGAAGCTATGTTTACAACATGATTAATCTTTTTTTACCTACTCGGAACCAGCAGATAAATTCGCGGAAAGTGATATTTCAACGAATGTTTCTAGGAGCTTTCTCATTGTTCTGATATTTTTTTCTGTTTGCCCTTATTGGTTTTAATTTATTGCTTTACACGTTTTATTTTTCTGATCTGTTACTTACTATCAGTTATTTGTTAGCTATTTATATCAAGTAAGATCAAGCTTTAAATTGATTAAAAATTTTTTACTTTACCGTGAATTTCAGAGAAGCAATCGAACACTTTATTACGGCTCTTCAACTGCAGCAATCTTATAGCTCCATTTCATCGTCTACAATTTGGACGCCTTTACGCGCAGCTGTCGTTCGAAGTTGTTTGCCTTCTGCATTGGATTTACTAGCAGCTGTGAATGAGCAAGATTTGAAAAAGTGTATTCACTTTCTGAATTGATTTATGGAACTGTCCAACAATAAGCAACTTGTCGAATAGAAACTGTGATTACTCCGATTTTGATTCATCCATTTCAAATTTCCAATTCCTATCTTTTTAATTTTATTTCTCTTTCAATTTTTTCCAAACTTTTACATTATGATATTACACCTTTTTTTCTTCGTGCCATTTGTCATTATTTCATGTAACCCATTAATGCCTGACCAATCAGCAATTCCAATGTTCGATAATTCTAGGAACAAATTACTCTATTCTACTTCAACAACCTTTTATGGTAAAAATGTTAATGTTGTAGAGTGGGATTCAGTTACTTCAGCGCCACATAAAATTGTAGGTACTTTAATTCGCGCTTCAAATGCAGTGCATGAAATTGAGGGAAAAGTTACATCCACCATGAAAGAAAGTGATATAGCGTATAACAGTGGCAGTAGTGATAAAGACAAGCTTTATATGCGTGGAATAGTAGAAGAGCCTGAAGAATCTGACAGTACGTCCAGTTCTAAATATGATGAAGTCAACAATGGTTTTTTACATGATGAAATGAACAATAATGAAAAAACACCTACAAAGAATTGCATGACTAAACATAACTCTTCAGCATGTCATTTTTTAAGTCCAAATTCGACAATTACAGTTACACTGGAATCTGTAATCTCTGCATCCAGTACTGCGAATGATACTTTTAAGAAAATTCAAGATGAATTTGTGTCAGATTTGCGAATTATTAATATAGTGGAAATTTTCAATTCCCTAGCTATGTTCATAGCATCTTCTTTCTCTTCCGAAGTATCTAGCACAACTCATCATTCTTCATCGTCGGAAAACTCTACATTCAGAAGCGCGAAGGATGAATTTTTCGATGAAGTCGATGCGAAATCTGTCACACATTTTACTGGAAAGACGTTGGATAGAAATTTTTTACAAATATATGGGAGTGAAGGCGAAGCAGAAATAAGTCTCGTAAAGGGAAGGGAAGAACATCCAAATGACAAACATTCTGGCGACAATATAAACATTGACGATTATGCAGTTGTTAAAAGCAAGCAAGACCATGAAAATTTTGAAAAGAATTCCAAATTAAATCCGCAAGTGATTCTCAGGTCAAAGTTCGAAAAAAACGATATCAATGAACAGGAAAACGAAATAATAAATGATTCCGATGTTGATCACATCGTTACTTCGAAGGAAGATTCCAAACAGGGAAAGTCATCAGATTGCGCAACACCAGATGAAAAAAAATTCTGGAAACTACGAGATGATGTGCGTGAAAAATATAACGAAGATGAAAAAGATAACAAATCATCGCCAGTTCTGGCATATTTTGAGAAAACCCTTTGGGAGAAATTGGTTGCAGGTTTGAAGTGTTCCCAAAGGGATTGCAGAGAGGCGCTAAAACCTACGGAAAGTGTTCGCAGATATTTGATTGAACCATCAATAAGTCGAGCCAGAAAGCATAGCAACGGGAAATTGTAGCCTTCATTTATTTACTATCTCTTTTTTTAAACTTGTCTTTTTCTTATAAATTGTATTTATATATTTCATTTCCGATTTCAAATGACCTTTCCTGTAGGATCAAACTTATGCATAAGAAGGGAATTATTGGAGAATGTATTATTATAAAATTATAAAACAATAGTATAAAGATATTATTGTCTCTAATAATTTAACACATATTTATATTCAGTAATTCTATTCTACTCTTTACACATATAAAGATTTTATTGATATTTTCAGTATTATTGCATCTATTTTGTGATATTTTAGGATGCAGTTATCAACTAAAACATATTTGTTAACAATTATATATTAGTACATATGAACTTTTTTCAATTTAAAGAAAAAAATTATCGATTTCTTATTCGAAATTCAAGTGATCATAGTATAAGAGTTATTGATTAAAAAGCGCGATTAATATATTTCCTGTTGTTCACTAAGCAGCTGAGCAGTTGTTATTCAACAAGGCCATACTATATATTCTCTTGCAGTAATATTGTTTGGTCAAAGGTTATTTGTTGTTGCTTTTCAATTTAATAGGCTTCATGTGCTTTTCATTTTTATCGTAAACATTTTCACCTGTCTTTTTTTAAAAAATACTTAGAATCGATGACAGGCATTTGCGATTTCTGATTAAAATTAGAAATTAAAATTAGGAATAAAATTTTTTATTAAATAATCTCTTTTATTCATTTCAAGATGAAGGGCAGCTCTAAAATGCATCACGTCTTCATATAGTAAACATATTCTTAGTACATAAAGAATTTTCAACAGAAAGTATATCGAACAGGAAGGAAGCAGGTGAAGGTCATTCGGGTTAGATACCCAATTACGTCTAAAACGGTAATGTTTGAGTGATAAAGCATGAATTAATAGAAGAAGAGAAATGTGAGTAATTTTAACGAATCAAATAGATGGAACCTTTTCTGTTTCGTTGTTGTATAAATGCTGTGGTCATTGACTGCAATACAATCTCTTCTTCATGGTCTTTACTTCTAAGCAAACATTCTTCTCATTTCACTCTATCTTTTAAAATTTCATATTTTTTTTGTGGAAGAGAAATGAATTGCTAAACTTTTTATGTTTATTGAAATTTCGAAAGGAAAAATGACTACATAACTGACACCTCAATTAATCATTTGAGCCTTTCCATCGATCCAGTCAAGGCTACACAATATGGAAAGTGATATAGCGGGAAGATGAGATGAGGCAATTGATCAACTTTGCTTTAAAAAATCTCTCAATATTGTAGACTATAAAGTTTTGCAACATTTAGGATTCATGTTATTCCAAGCTTATATTTTCATATTTTAAATTGTTTTTAAAATATCATTTTATTCATTAGAACTCCATTATTACACCCAAACTACTCCATCAAAGATCTTTCAATTATTCAGATATATCACTATTATAATGATTATAACTTTCAATCACTTCTGACATTCTGACAATTCTCCGTCATTTAAACCTTACCGCTTCTACTTGATAAATTCTTTCATTCTTACTGTAACAATTTAATGTCTAAGGGAAAAAAATAATGGAACAAAAATTGATGAAATCTTAAAACATTCTTCCTCTTAATCACTTCATTAGCAGCTTTAATAATGCAGAAAATGACCATCACCTTTAGTAAATTTATTTTTACTCAAACACTATTTTTACCACTGATCAAATTAATTATTTTAAAAAAGTTTAAAATTCAAAATCCAATCTGATTTAAATTTGATTTTGATTTATTCCGCCATTTTTATTGCTCTATTCAAGCAAATAAAAGAACATTATCACTTACTTCACTAAGATATCAGTTACAATCAAAATATTATCATTTTAGACAAAATTAGAAAAAAATATCATTGATAATGCTATTTTGATATGTATAGAAGAAAATATAAAATAATATGAAGAAATATTAGCGTACCATTGATGATTTTTGCTATATGTAAACATTTCAGCAAAGATTTTTAACATTTCTCAATTCAACAAATTTCTTTCTTCTATTTTCATCATTTTTGATGTTTAACAATTTTGCTAAAATTTATAAAAATTCTAGAGAATACATAATTTTGGATTAGTTTATATTGAAATTAAAAATTGCAGGTTATTTTTGAAATAATTTATTTATCTTTGAAAAAATAAGATTTTTCATTTCTTGAATGAAATAAAATCCATACATATTCAACTTTCATAATAATTGAAATTCCCTCAAATTAATTCATTCTTTAAAAGCTAATTATTGGTACTTTGTATTAGATGATTACACTTTAGTGCTATTATTGAATATTTTTTACACACAAGCATTACAAAAGTTCATTTTTAACTCTACAAACAGAAACACTTTCAATTTCTGTTTGTGTGTGTATATGTATGTATTCGCATGTGTGTGTGTGTGTATGATCATATACATTTGTATACACTAATATATATGATAATTATATATGATGATATTTATGTATGATGATATGATTATATACGACTATATGATGATATGATAATTGTATATGATAATTATATATGATGATACAATAAATGATTACATTCGTCCACCGGTGTACTAAAATAAAGAAGCATTTTTAAAAATATTTTTTAGAAGCTCAAATTTTGCTTTTTAATATAACCAATCTTTTATATACCTTATCACTTATTTAATATCATTATCACGTATCACATAAATTCAATCAATGTTTCGCGTAATGATCCGCATTAACCTCTCGAAATGACAGTTCGAAATTATTTCTGTCAAGTGCTATTTACAGGAATTAGTTTGTTTTCATGATAGATTTACTGATTTTCTCGGTCCATTTAATTCCGGTTTTTTTCTGCCAATTTTTGTTGTAATTGATGCTGCACTTTATTGATGCTAATTTTTTAGTATGTAGTTTCCTCGCTTTCCCATCATAATGTGTATAATAAAAAAGGTAAAGAAATTTTAGTACTCAAGAATTTATTAGTTTTTGTAAAAAATCTTAATTTTAATAGATAGAGATAATATATGCTTTATCAGTTATGTTAATAGTTATTGACATCTGATAAAATATGACGAAGTTCAAACTGTCCAATTTTAATTCATATTTGATAAAATCACGGTGTATACTTCATAGTTCCGCAGCTCTCACAAAAACACCTAACTAATCAGTCGGTATCATTAATAAACTATCGCAGCATTTCTTCCTCATTTTCATCATCAAATCAAGAAATTTCGTACTATTAGAAATGAGGCGAACCTTTTCGTTTGCTCCATTTTTTTTCGGACACGCAGCAGCGAAATTTATTTCAGTCCAGTTCGGACGCAGCGGGTTCAATATTCGCTCCTGCACACTGCACAACAAAACGAGGAACTATCAGAACTACGTCACTTTCATCAATACCTGCGGTAAGGTGTATCCTGTACTCCATTTTCTACTCTTTTTTTTCTTACATTCTTTTCTTGAATTCAGCCATTTTGCATTCTTTCTTCCGAAGAGATAATGTTTGTGAATACACCTGTCAGTTAACACAAATCTTCCCAATTATCTTTCTTTATTCCGTTGATCACACTTTCTTGAAGTGCGATATTTTAATACAACCTATGGGAGAAGCTAACATCTCTGTATTGATAACATTGGTATAAATTTCAGCTTTCCCAATGTCTTTTATTTTATGCAAAGGTGTGCTGTATGAAACTAAAGAGCGTTTCATATAGCAAAATACAGACTCATCATCAAGCGCTTATATCTACATATCACAATCAGTGACAACGTAATATGACTTAGTATATACAATAAAGAAGTAGAAGAGAGTCTTTTCAACTACTTAGGACGCATCAAAACAGTGATATTACTAAAGATGTTCCCAGAAATATCATCGCTAACTGACGAGGGAAATTCTCATAACCTTCACTTCCTTAACTGTTATTTGCAAAACATTTTATGTTTACATACTTGAGAACGAGGAGCGCAAATAATATGCGCATCTTATGCTTGAATTTATACTCTTTATTTCTTTATCGTTCAGCCGTTCAGTCATTTAGTCCTTGTACAATGTTACAATTCTTATTACATTCAATGTTTTTCAGCAATTTATAACATACTCTCATTTGTACTTAAATTGTACATAGTGTTGTCATTGTACATAGCTTAGTGTTGTCTTCTAATTGGAGAAGACAATACTAAGCTCTCACTTCCATTAATGTCTAATAGTTATAATTCCAGTTGAAATCTATTTCCTTACTTTTGTAAATGACCCCTTCGTACTGTCAGCATTTGTGGAGGAAGACTTATTTTTAGTGCTTTTAGTGACCTTGCCAATCTTGAAATCTGTTAGAAAAGTCCCGCGTGTAATCAGTATAGTCCATGCCTCTACACGTGCCACACGTACGTAGACGAATACGCGGAATACGCGACGTCCTCCGACTTTCAAATTGCAGCGAGCAAAGAAGCACGTAAAAGATGACTCGGCCATTCTAGACTTGTTAAATAACGATGACATATTGTAACTTGTTGACTGGTCGGGACGAAAATTGCGATTCATTGGGATATTTGGGATGAGAGTGCAAGCTGACTTGGTTTAGTGGGTTCATTTGTCGAGGTGTTTCTTTGTTCTGTGCAAGTTATATTGGCAATAACTTGTAACTAGGCTGAAACCATTATGGTTTTAATATGAGATGCTTCTCTTTACGTGGAATCTAGCCCTATATTTCCATTCTTTTCACAAAAAACGTTGCAATGTATTGAAATATTAGCCAGATAACGCATTTATCTTGACTATGTGTCTTTTCATCGAACAATAATTGGTCTGAATTAATTGCACAAAACTGGAAATTTTATTAAATTGAAAAAAATCACTTTAAACCAAAAAGATATCTTAAGTTGATTATTCGTTTAATTAAATAAATGTGCTTGAAATGTATATCGTTTTTGGCAAAATCTCAGTCGACAGAGCATAATTTGGAAGAATTCAAAATCATTCTCGTGACAAGGCTGCTTGTCTGTCCCGTGATCTGAAATGCGAATTACTGATTTGTTTCCCCGCCTGCCAGTAAATTAGTTTGTCACATGAGGTATTTGGAGGCGGAGATGGAGATGTTTTAGAGGATTGGGGAGGAGATAGAGGGGAGAGTTCGTTTTGCAAGGGACAGGAATGATTGAAGATGATGTGCGTAAACAAGACGCATGCATATATGCACACATTTATTCCAATAAAATTTAGAAGTGAAGGACAAAACAGTAGTTGTTTTATGTCCTTCTCTTATTTTCACCAAATATCATAGGTTTATGAGGTTCATATTTAACAAGTTGATAGTAACAGGTTAATAATCATTATATCCTCTCTGAGTATTATATCCTCTCTCATGGCAATCATTATCTCGACCATTTTCAATTTTCGTTTGCGGTTGGTTTTGGCTTCTCCATCTGTGATTTTTATACAATGCATTTCCAGATAAAAATAATTGCTTGGAATGATAGTCAACTACAGAATGCCCATGTTTTGGCTTGGTTAAATTACCTTATGGCATACAAGAGGGAGATACCTTATTTGATTGACAGTTGTTGAACAAATTGAATTGGAAAGCAAGATATCTGCCAAGGTTAAACTAATGTTGGTTATAAGGTCCACATCTCATACTCAGATTGTTCTGTTAAAAATACGGTATTTAAATTAAGGATTAGAATGGCTTTGTGACTTTTTTTTAAAATTCTGCTTTGTAAGATTGAAAATGACATCGTTTTTTTGATCATCTGGACAGTTTCTTTTTCCTTTTTTTAAAAGAAATTTGGTCGAGGTTGATGTTGTATGAAATTAGTAATGCTAGAATAATTGCGGTAATAATGGCAGTACATTGTTGTTATTTTAATTCTTCTATGCTCTTACGCACTTCAGCACCACACTGGAAAACATTCAGTTATATTTTCCGTTCCTTCTTTCAGAACAGATGTAATGAGCAACCAACCGATACAGCAATCCCAAGCCTCATCGGCGAGAGAACCCGATCCAGACGCTATCAAAATGTTTGTCGGTCAGGTGTGCAATTCTAATATTAATAACGGATATCTAAGAATTTATGGATTACATGTTTTTACTGTAGAGAGAGAGAGAATCTATACAAATAGCTGAAGTGGTATATATAGAAAATGGACGAAAATTTTTCATTCCACTAAATAATTTTGTTCAGATTCCACGCTCATGGGGTGAAGCAGAATGTAGAGAGCTGTTTGAGCAATTTGGTTCTGTTTGTCAGCTAAATGTTCTTCGTGATAAAGTAACACAGGCAAGTAGAGGTAAACTGTTTTTTTGCTGTGAAGATTAAGTATTAGCTGGTTACATATCAACTGATCTGCTATTTGCATTTCATTTCAGGTTGCTGCTTTGTAACTTACTATAAGCGGGCCGATGCAATAGCAGCGCAAGCAGCACTTCACAACATACGTGTCTTACCCCAAATGTACCATCCTGTTCAAATGAAACCTGCCGACATTGAAAACAGAAATGGTGGTGCATTCTTTTTTTTGAATTCCCTATTTATTTTTCTTTCTTATCCTTCAACTTTCTTGTTTGTTTCGTCATATCTTCTGCTTAGGTATTCGGGGTAACTGTTCCGAAACAGCAATGTATCATAAAAAATTGTGGTAAAAATAATTTACAGTAGCTTAGATGTAAGAGCCAACCATTTCATACTTTTTACTTCCATATTTGTTTCTCTTTTTATGTAATGATAAATATTGTGTGCAACAAATGAATCGAGAAAGCGTGTAAGCATCTGGGTTAAGTATGTTTTCGTTTTCTGAAACTGATAATCTGCGTTGTATTGTAGAAAGAAAATTATTTGTTGGTATGTTAAATAAGAAACTTACCGAAGACGATGTACGCGAAATGTTTGCTCAGTTTGGACACATCGAAGATTGCACTGTTTTGAAGGACTCGGAAGGAAAAAGTCGAGGTACACCTACATTTTTTGGTGCTACAGCACTGGTATGTGATCACAATTAGAAATTCGTAAAAAACGAGAATAAATAATTTAAAGGTTTTCAATTGAAGCTTACTTAAGGTATATCATGATTAGAGAAGTTACGATTAAAACCTTCTACGGAGGATGAAAATTATGTGTGATAGAGTCTGAAGCATGTTTTAAAACAATGGTTTCTGATAGTGGATTGAATTAATTTCGAACAGTACATTTCTCGTCACCAAATAATCATGTGACTTAAAGCGGTTGTGTGCAAATAAAAAGAGCTTAAATGAGACAGCTTGGCTAATTACTTAGCTCTTTTTTTCGTTCAAATTTAATGCTACAGAAGTTATTAATGCTACATTGTTATTGACAATTAAATATGACCTGAAGATTATAAGACCAACAGTAGTTGGGCGATATCAGTGTAGAGTGGAATATATTTCACGGAACCTTTAGGCAATCATAGTGATTTTATTGCAAATATTAGCGACTAAGTCTTATCTTGATATTACAAATGAGCTAAGGGGAGCATTGCATCCTTCTTCTTAGGAAGTTCGCAAAGCGGCCTTTCAGGAGATACGGCAGTGCATGGCGATGTGCTCATGCTACTGTCACAAAATGGCTTTCTTTACGCAATATGAAATCCTCGTGATTTTGGTGATAAGTATTATATGGAAAATTGCAACTATAAGTTTGTAGGCCAACTGCATGAATGTCAGAAGTTTTCGTTGTCAGTTTAGATGATTACATTGTTCATGGTGTTTCAATGTAATTATGTGTTGCGTGTCTGTAAACTAATTCATGTATACTGGTCTCAGAACGTTTGACAATCTTTTGTTGATGACCATGTCCAGGTAACTTGAAAATCATTTAGATAATAATTTCAGTATTTTTGATTTGGGAACACGTTATTTTGCCAACTACATTTCTCAAATAACCTCGAATTCTATATTTGTGATAGTTCTAGGTATCTAGTGTGGAGTTGTGGTTTCTTATGATTACAACAAAGAAATATTAGGGTCAATTTTGTTTTTTCTTTTTTCCCTGTTCCTTTCTTTATGTTGTCCTTGTCACACAAGTTGTTTGTTGAGCGTAAATTTTTGTTCCAGGCTGTGCCTTTGTGACGTTTGCTCACCGTTCCTGTGCGCAGCAAGCGATCAAACAAGTGCATCTATCTCAAACCATGGAGGTACTCTGTCACTCACCTGTACACTTTTTTTCAAAATAGACCCCAATAAAGCATCGTTTTTTACTCAGCTTACAATATACTACCTTTTTCTAGCAACAGTCTATGTTTTATTGTTTGCAATAGTTTCAATAAGCTCTTTTTGCATTATAATAGTACATATGACTTGTAGCTTTTTGCTTAAATCGCACCATATGTGATTACGTTTCAAAGTATTACATTTTATTCGTTGCACTGATGGCGTAATTACGGGAGCATGAGACACACTGTTATAACTTTTCATCATGTTAATGAATGTTTTATGAATCCTGATGGGTCAGATCTGTTCTGTTAATGTTTGACGTTGGGACAAATTCCATCATTCTTTGTTTTATCATATCTATGTTATTATCTGTAAAGATTGTAAATTTTCCATGTACTTTACTTTTTCATGAAGAAGCTATAGCATGCTGTCTTTTGTGAAGTCCTTTGACTGTCGGTTGTTATTAGTCTAGGAAGCGTATGAACCGTCATTTGCTATAAAAAAGAAATTTTAATAGCACAAATTTTTTAATTCATCAAGTTACAGTACCTAAAGTCATAATGTCTTCAGGGTTGCTCGAAACCGATTGTCGTGAAATTCGCTGATACCCAAAAAGAAAAAGATGCAAAAAAGAGTGGTGGAACGCCAGTGATAACAGCACCTTCATTGCAGAATACAGTCAGTTTAGCCAACACATTGCAACAGGTAAAATTTGTTATAGAATTGTTTTTTAAGGGAAATTGCCTAGCTATAGTCTATTCAAATACATTAAATGCAAAAACTTATTTTGCGTTATGCAGTCTTACCTTCTGCTGTTATAACTTTAAAATCATAATTTAGGAAAAGCAAGGCTAATTCTATTACCCGTAAATAATGTTTCATGGAAATTTGCATGTTTACGTAAGATCAGTTTATCTACTTTAGTAAATGGACAATCAAACTAACTAGCTTTGCTTAAAAAGTACATGAGCAGTCTTCGGTTGTGCCATACATGGAGTAGACATCGCTATGGGTCATCGCTTCAATACATTCTGGAGAAAATTTTGCCTTTACAAGATTTGAGTCAAATTAATCTATCTGTTATCAATTTTTATCAGAACAGACTCTGTTCCGTTATTTCTATATGAATATGCTTATTTCAGTTGCTGCAAACAGCTCAGCCTAATAGCAATACCAATCCTGCTCTGGGAACTCAGTTGGCTGCGCTTGCAGCTCTTCTTCAGACGGCATCACAACCCAATGTTCTTAGTTTGCTTGGAAATGGTTTGTTCAATCAACTAAGTTCTCTAAAAACTTCTCAACTGTTGAAGTTACCAAATAAAGCATTATTAGCTCAAAAATCTCTGTTGATAGGAAATATGCAAAAATAGTAACATTAAATTTCAGTCGATTTGGAATCGTAGGAATCATCATTAGGGATCTGAATATGTTGACCAAAACAAGTAAACAGTGATTGTATTGTAGTATTATCTGGTTTGGGTCGTTTAACCGAGAATACAGCAACATCGAATCAAACGTCTGTAAAATCATCACCCTTTCCTCTTGTCAGTCAGCAAACCCTGGCATCACTCTCCTCTTCACCGGCCCTCTCAAATGCAGATTCATCAGGTACATCATCGTAAAAACAATGCATGGGCTCCCCCTGCTTTTTTCCATTTTCTCTATGGTAAAGCATTTAGTTTTAAGCAGTATTTACGACACTTCTGATTTTTCATAACTATTTTGCACTGCTAGTGAGTAATTTCGATTTGAATGCATGCACTGTTCGCTGTAATATGAGTTTTTTTGCCATTTTTTCCGAGTTTCGAAGTTATTTCCTTTTATTTACCAAGGCAGTACATTATTTTCATATAGTAAAGTATCAGGATCTGCTATTTATTTACACTATTATGATTTTTTTACTGGCTTACTCTTCCTTCGTTATTCTGGCAGCAAGAGGTTTGGTTCGAGTTTACTAATGAACTTTTTCAGTTTTTTGTGGAAATATTTGTTTCGAAATTTTTTTGAATTTATTTTTGCACACGCTATGAAATCTTAATTTTTTTCACTCAGTAACAGTGATGATTTTAGTTAAATGCCTCAAGCAAGTTAAAAAGACTGATATTACTGATAATATCAGCAATATATTTCTCAAAAACAGTTCGACGATTGCCACGTCAAATCCTGAGGATTTCTTTGCAATGAAATATGGGAGAAAATTAAAATTTGTTTGTTGTGGTTCTAACTTCAATACTCTTTTGTGATTGTGGAATTGCTTTTTTTTTGCTTGTTATTTGTCAATGTGTTTTAGTGTCCATTTGTTATCAAATATTTACTGTATGCTTTTTGAATGCACCTGAAAATTGCCACGAAGACAACAACAAAGATTACGAAAACAATACAGCAACTTATCTCATGCTTCTACAATGCTTCATAAATTTAAAATCAAATTACTTATTAATATTGCCTATTTCAGCAGCACTTCAGCAACAGCAACATCAGCAATTAGCTGCGCTTCAGCAGCAGCAAAGATTGCTGGAACTTCTTACACATCAACAGCTTGCTAACACGCCCATATCTACACCTAGTGGTAAGTGTTACACATGAAAATGAGTTTTTCCGAAGCTTCAGTAGTGATTTTCACATATTGCTAGTTCTAAACCAATTCCAACATCTTCGAACTGGATTAGATCGTGGTCAAATACTCATTTGATCTTGTATTTTTTTCAGGTTCGTTTGGTAATGACAATAAAATAAATGGTACAACTGGTGGAAATAACCTCATTCAGCTGACTGGACAGAATGCATCAACCAACATCGATGCTCTACAGCAAGCATATGCGGGATTACAGCAGTTTGCTGGTGATCACTTTTGCTTTTACGAATATTTTCAGAAAACAAATTGTTATGAGCCATGTTGCTTTTAATCGCCGTTTTTGATTTCTTCACAGTTACGGACTTTTGTCGATAACTCATATATGCATTAACTTTATAGTATGCATTAGTACATGTGATTCTCTTTGTTAAATATGTGGTGTGGGTGACATTCCCCGTCCTTTTTTCAGGTTTGTATCCACAATTATCGACTAATAATTTACTCACTGCTAGTAGTGCAACTAATACAGGAATCAATGCTTCAAGCGGTGGGCAGTCAAAAGGACCAGATGGTTGCAATCTGTTTATTTATCACCTTCCTCAAGACTTCACTGACACCGATTTATTCACCACATTCTCACCTTTTGGATCAATTATTTCTGCAAAAGTTTTTATTGACAAACAGACTAATCTCAGCAAATGTTTCGGTAGGTCACACTCTTGTATTAGTAGAAGATCAACAGTTCACCGTCATAGCAATGAAAAAGAACAATGTTCCATCTAAATTAAGAGTGGTGGGGGAAATTTAATATTTGAATCTGTGCAGTTCATCATTTTCATTTTCAGGTTTTGTAAGCTATGATAACGTCGTTTCGGCTCAGAACGCTATTTCAGCACTTAATGGATTTCAGATAGGTTCGAAACGGCTAAAAGTACAGTTAAAACGTGGAAAAGATAGCAAACCGTATCCGAGTATGCCTGTTACTAGTAACAGTGGTAACACGAAGCCGCTGTCAACTTAATTGTTGAACTTTTCCTAAAATCTATTTCTTCTTTTTCAAATGTGAAAATTATAATTTAATTCCCTTCGTAAATCATAAAACTAATAATAAACGTGATAGCGATAATTGGATTGTGCTTGTTTCATGAATTTTAAATTTTAAAAGAATTATTTGCATTTGCAGTTCCCTTTTTCTGGTGTTGTTGAAGACCAAAAAAACAAATGAAAGTAGTGAAGTAAAGTTAAACAGTCTGATAAGATATATCCTTTCTTTTGAAGTAGGTTTTGTTGACCCCTGATCTTCATTTAATGTATGTGCATAGTTTACGTCATCCTAGTCCTCTTCTTTTAGCCTACTAATTGTGTGGGCGACATCTTTATGAACTGAAAGTCTGTCATTGTTCTCTCTCTACTTAACTCCTTCAATTAATTCTACTTCATTTGTTAACGAATATGTCAAATGCATTTCCTAACTTTCAAATCTGATGTTATCACCGCATATCTTGCCTCATTATGAAAATGTAATTTCTTTACTAATGTTAGTCTTGCCTGTTCTCATCTGTTCTCATTTTTAAAACTGTCTTGCCAAGACTTTCATGTGTATTGTTGCTCTAAGCATTTGTGCGTTCCCTTTCTTTTTTTGTTATTATAGTCAAGCATTATTCAAGTTTTTAAAGATTAATGTTTTGTGGATAGAACGAACTTCAGAGACTGTGGATTATTCATCTTGCTCGTAGACCTTTTTATTTTTCGTTGAATCATCCTTCGCTTAGTTAAAACGTGATTCAAGAGGAACTGCAATTTTTTTGACATAATATGTGTTTATGCTTTTCGATCTGTGTGTTTTGTTCGAAGTTGATTTTTGAATTACGTTAGACCCTATTTTTTATTATAAACTCCATCTAATTTTTGTTTAAATTTGGTTTTCTTCGAGCGGTTGACTGTTCTAACTGTAATATACTTGGTATTTGAGTTAACTTGAGAATTTCTATATTTGATTTATATATGTCATCATTTAAAGAGTTTAGTGAAGTCCGCAAAACCTAACATGTTATGTGGTCAGCATTTTGATATATAATATAAAGAAGAATAATTCTTGATAATATATGACTTGATTTATAGAATTCACTGAGCATTACAAAAAACGTGAGTGTCTTAATGGTGAGTCCTGTTCCATGAGAGGATAAGTTGCTAAGATGTAAATCGAGTGAAAGTTGAACTAATGCAAATGATGTTGCACGGTAGTTGTTACGCACGATCTTGAAGTGATCATCCGGAAAGCACCGGATATGATCTAATCACTACGTATGCGGTGCATTCCGTGATTAAATCAAGATCCGGTTGCGCTTTCCGACTATGTGTAACACCATAGAAGTTAGAAAGAAAAGTCGTATTTGTACTTTAAAAAAATCGTATTTGTATAATTTGATGAACGTTGAAAAGCAATAGTCTTATTTAGGATATATCGTGTATTAAGATTTGGAATTATGCAGGAAAATAAGTACAAGAAGTACAAGGAAATAGGAAAAATCGATATATATAAATAAATATATATATTTAAATTAAGTACATAAAACGAGAGAAATTGGAAGAGAGGATCACTTGTTTTAGATTCTAATATTATATTCGCTTCATTTTTTGAAACAATTCTGGAGTATATATATATAGCACTTTTTCGAAAAGAGAAGTTGCTGCATATAGTTTCAAAGAGCAACCAACGACGTTCGAAATTTTCAATGCTTCTCTCTTATCTTTTATCACTAGTTATTCTATCTTCAAAAGCTTGCTTTAGACGGACATTTTAATCTTGCGTTATTGAGATAGTGGCCATGCTTTCATATGTGGTGCTTTCCGTGATTAAATCAGAATCCGGTTGCATTTCCCGACTATGTGTAATACCATAGAAACCATAAATCATAAGTCCTAGAAAGAAAAGTCATATTTTTACTTTGAGGAGAATAGTATTTATACAATTTGAAAAAAATGTGAAGTTTGAATGCAAGCGGGATAATAATGGAATGGGAGTATGTCTTAAAAACCACGAAATGATTACTACGTTACGATATTTGTTTGAGGTGTGTAAAGATGTTAGCATGTTAAATTTACCGATAACTAGCCAAATGGCAAGTCGGATCCAGGTTACTGAAGCCAGATGGAACATCAAAAAAACGTTGATAAATACGCTTGTCGCTGGTATGAGGGGGACCAATGGTACCTGAAACACATATGTAATATCAAGTAGTTAAAATTAAATAAAATGGAAAAGCGTAGTTTGCATCAATTTAATTATGATTTGGTAATCACGGTTACAGCTTTGCGAACGATGATTGATATTAGCCATAGGGCCGTTTAATTTTACGGATTTTACGGATAAGTTGTTAATGTTCAGTTATCATTGAATTATGAATAGTGACTAATATTGAAAAGTAGTAACCCTGAATGAAATCTTCTCATTATTTTGATGATGCGCGCAGATTAAAATGAATGCACTTGTAGCGATCGTACCAAAAGCAAGTATAAATATCCACCCAAATAAAGTGTGTGCAAATGATGTAGTGAAAACAATACTTATACCAACATCAGCAAATGTCATTGCAAAAACACACCATAATACAAGTCTTCCTGGTTCCAAAATGTTAAACCAACGATGTCGTGGCATCCAGGATTTTTTTATTCGACCTCCTTGAATTGCAAATTGTTTTATTTTCTATGTAAATTTCTAGAAGTATACCCAAATCACTTCTCATATTGAATCATGATAAGAGCAGGAAATATGCATTATTTCATATTTTTAATTACTTTAACGTAATGAAATTACAATTTGAAATAGTCCCTATAATGTTATCAATAATTTCATACCATTTCCTTCAATAATATTATTTTCATTAAGAGTTGGACGATATCGAAGAACAATAACACAGGCGGAAACAATCGTATAAGCCAAAAGTGTACCGATCGATAGAAACTCCACTAAAGTTTCAATATCAAATAGAAATGCTATTACTGAAGTAATAGCACCGAAAACAATTACCGCTTTCAGTGGTACCTGCAATAAATATTCCATTTTCTGGAAAATTTTTGAATGATTAAAAATTAAAGATTTTTTTAATATTCATTTTAATAATGAAACAAAAATTTCATCCTTAGATCATTCATATATCATTTTATTTTGTTCGTTTACGATATAAGCTCTATCCAAAATTTTGCATATATTTTGAAAGTTTAATTTTTGAAAATGAAATTTGAAAAGCTTTTTCAAACATTGTAAATTAACTGTTATTTAAATTTGAATTTAAAAGAAATAGCAAATGTTATCGTAAAAAGAGCAAATGAAACAGCTATTTCATATGTTTACCTGAGTTTTATCATTAACTTGTCCAAAAGTTTTGAATATCAATCCATCATCAGCCATTGCATAAACACATCGCGGAAGAGCAAACATAGAGCCAATCTAAAACATTTTAATTTATACACCGAATTAATTAATTAATTAATGAACGAATATTTATAAATAGAAAAGATTAGTAATTGATTTAATAATTCGATCATAAATTCCACTTGAATAATTTATCACTAACAATAAATCCCAAAAAATAATAGCCCAATGTTATCAAACATTAATTAAATTGAAAAAAAAGTCTGAAATCCATCTTAATAATTAACACTATTAGTGATTATTCAAAATACATATTTATAAACTGACCAAACTTGTAGTCATGCCTGACATAGCTCCAACTGAAACAATATATTTGGCCCAAGTTGCTCCACGACTTGCAAATGCATCTGAAAATGCCGCTGTAGGATTTACCTGAAAAAGAAGTCATTTTATGAAATATAATTTTCAGTGATATTTAATAATAACAAATTTTTACTTCACTATTGTAAAATCTTTATTTTATTTCAAAATTTATATAAATTTAGAAGAGAATTAGAATTGTATTAATTACTTCCCAAAATGGAATCATTAATGTTAATGCTGAAGCCATAAGAATATATGCAACTGTTACGACAAACATTGAAATAAACGTTGCTAATGGTATTGTTCGAGCTGGATCTAAATTATATATCAGCGTATTATTTCATAAATGTATATTTTAAAAATTAAAAGTTTCATTCATTTATATGGAGGGAGCACAATTAAAATTTCTTAATTAATAAAACATTAAACGTAAGATTTACGTAGTCATTAAACGTAGTCATGTTAACATGAAAAACTTCCTATCCACAATAATATAAGAATAAATAGTTGTTAAATTTTACCAGAAGCTTCTTCGCCAGCATTTGCTAAACCATCAAAGCCAATATAAGCAAAGAAACAACTTCCAGCTCCAGAAAATGTACCACTAATACCGTACGGAAAGAATGATGATCGACCGGTGGTGCTATCTTTATGAACAGACCATAATGTAAAGTCTGCGAATGTAAACCCATAACAAACCACAAATACTATCACCTGAAAAATTTCTATTACAACAAATAAGTTAATACTGATAATGAATATATTAAAATAAGTCAGAATAGAATTAAAGATTTTAAATCATTCAAATTATTAAGAAATTTACCAGCATATTGATTACTGTGAAAAAAGAAATGAAATTAGATGATGTTCTTGTTCCAAGACCAGTAAATACTGCAACTGCTATTACTGCAAAAAATGCTAACAGATCCGGCGAATCAGCAAAAAATGATTCCTGAAAGAAAAAAGAGAAACATAGAAAAAGAATTTTAAAAAAAGAAACAATTATAATATCATTATATTTAAATTTTAAAAATTTAAATACATTGATAAAACAAACATCAAAATGTCCAATGGTAACGATCGTTGAATTTTTGAGAGAGTTGCCAAATAGCGATAACGAATAACCGGACCATGATCGAGCGACCGCTGAACGGAAAAAAATTTTTTGAAGTAAATTCTGAAAGTAATAAAAATAGTAAGCAAAAAAGAGGTACGTAAAAAATGTTTGGAAAACTTTACCTGCAGCACCAAGCATATGCTCGAGAATGATATTCCATCCAACAATAAATGCCCATAGTTCACCAAAAGCAATATACACATATGTGTAAGCACTCCCAGCCTTTGGAAATCTGAAACTTTTAAAAGAGCGCTTCATGAAATTCAGTGTGAAACAATAGCACTTATAAATTCCGTATGATAATAGCACTTATGAAATTCAGTATCACGATAATGACACTCATCAAATTCAGTATGACAGTATTGATTGCCCTTGGTTCAAATAATGACTATCAACCTTTTATACATGATAAAAAATTTCTGATAGATTTCATAATAGGTGTCAATTTGCGTATTTTGAATGATCGAATTTCTTCAAGTATGAAATATCTAAACTAATTTCAATTAGTGATTTTATTTCATTCTAACCTTCCGCCAAATTCCGCATAACATAATGCGGAGAGAAGAGATGCAAGTCCAGCTAATGCAAACGATATCACAATAGAAGGTCCTGCAATATTACGTACCACAGAGCCTGAAGATGTGAATTACAATATCATTACTATATTCTCTTTTTCGTATAATTATATTTTTCAGTAAAAGAATTATTATATTTAGGTAACAGATATTTTGAAATTCAAAACTGATGACGGTCTGAGAAAAGAAAAAAATATTTCATTTCTGATTAATAAACAAATGAATCAGAAAGTCTATTTGCGCTTGTCCAATTATAAGCATCACATTGCTAATTGAAAGAGTCATTCATTCATTAAGGAAAATATCTCAAACCCAAATTATTTCTCCATTTCTTTCAAAATTCATTTAAGGAATTGATAGAATGTTTCAGATGATAAAAGAAAATAAAGAAAGAGTGCTTATCAGTTCTGATATAACGATTTAGAGAGAGAGATTGTTTGATAATTAAGAACACACGATGAAATCTTAATTGTTTAATTAGTCGTTGAATGTATTTGAAAGTTGTAAGCGTTATTAGTTTACATATATTATTAAATAAAATTTTATCCATACAAAATTTTTTGCAAACATATATATATATATCATCAATAAATCATCGACCGTAAATTCTTCTGTATCGGTCATTCAATTGAAGAATGGAAAATAGGACATTAATCTTTGTTTCATTCAGTTTATCACATTTTCTTTCAAATTAAGTCATTTGAATTTTTCCAAATTTACATCTTTTCATTTCAATTTCGGTAATTTTTCTTTTTCCCTTTTTGTTTCGTTTCATATTTCCACTCATTAATTTAGGAAAATTTTCACAATTTTAAATTATTTATTTGATTACATTTCGTCAGTTTACACTTAATTTACAAAAGTTAACGGAAATAAGCGATAAGATAATGATATCTTACGAAACTGAAAATTCAATTTAATCCTTTGAAGAAATATTGTAATCACATAGGAAGAGATTTTTGTTAATTACTAAATATTTAACTGTCCAACCTTTATTTATTATAGATTATTTAATTCTTCCCATATTTCATTATTCATATTCTCAATAATTCCACAAACATTGAAGTCTCATAGATGAAAGGAAAGAAAAGAAAAAAATTGCTGTTAAGTTTGATAAGATTTCTAGAAGTTCGAATTAGGAAAAAAGAAAGAGAATGAAGAAATACTGTTAAGTTTGACAAGATTTCTAGAAGTTCGAATTAGGAAAAGAGAAGGAAAATGAAGAAATTTTACGGATGTATCAATGACTGAAAGTTGAAAACATAATTGAAAATAAAACGACAATTGGCAGCTCTGTGATATATTGCGAAGATTAAATTAAAAGTGATTATGCATAAAGAATTGAGGATAATTGTTATTTTAACAATATCTATTCTGCTGTTTTTGATTTATATGATGAAACTTCGATTATTTGTAGTTATATATAATTTGTATTTTAAATTTTGAAAGCCTTTTAAAATATAAAGTTCAAAATTAAAAGTTCTTTTTTAAATCCGGAAATATCAGGAAATCATGCTGGAAACATTTTTAATAAATTTCCGAAAACTTCGTTTTCTTTTTTCTTAATAATAAATAAAATAGAACATATTAAGAATAAAGAACAGAATAACATTTAAGAAGATGCCCACCGGTCAAAACATATATACCGGCTCCGATCATATGTCCAATACCGAGAAGGGTAATATCAGTTAATGATAAACATCGTTTCAATTGTGTTTCCATTACATTCGTTGTTGTCTTTAAGCGGAACAAACTTTCTCGGAATGAGACCATTGTTGTGTCGGATGGAATTTTCTCTCTGTATGTTAACAATGATAAGAAAGTAGAAATTTACAATAAGCATATCAATGAATATATTGAAACAAAAAAAACGTATTTATTTAAAATTATAACATCAAAGTGCGTGTACATTTAACGTACGCATACACGTATCTCGTGAACACGAAATCCTTCACATTTAATTAATATAACTATAGGCTTATGTTTTTGGAATACTAAAATAAAGAAATTATGAAGAAGCGATATTTACAACAGTTTGCACCAAAACTATCCAATCATTTAATGCTTCATCAGGCATTAAACAATTTTATTTGTATCAATTAATTTCCTGAAAAAAAGTCATTAAAATAGTTTTAAATATTTTATTCAATTAATTCGGTTACATAATTTCCGATACTTTACGTTACAGGTGTTACCTCAACCAATTTTACATTTCTCGAAGTATATCTTACTATGCACAAATACATGTCATTACCGTGTTGTGGTAATATCACGTCAGTTTCTTTGAAAAGTATAGCTAAAACAAGGTATAGTAAAAAGGGTGTAAGTATAGGTAAAGGAGAGCATAGATTTAGGTGAAAGGTATAGGTAAAAAAAAAAATTACTCATTTGATAAATATGTTAACATGATAAATGAGAAAACAAATAATATTGGTGTTAATCATTGAAATATGTTTATATCATAAATATATTATCTCATAATCAATGTCAAAAAAAAATTCATTCAATTAGAAGCTTAAATAATAATCATTGATGTGGAAGAACATAATGCTTTTCGTAGTTATTGCTGTCAATAATTGCTATTGAAAGTTAAAAGTACCACTCCTAAATTATTCTTCCATTGATGGATAAGTATTTTCCTTTCCCTCCTCTTTCTCTTCCTCTCACATTTCCCGCATTCTTAACTTAATTTTTTAATATGAATTTTTATTTTAAATAATAAATTATTTATCAATGATATATTATTATCATGGAAGAATAAGCATTCAATCATTATTTATTTCAGCAAAATGTCAAATATTAATCAATATTATGATGCACCCATTCCATTATATATTTCAGTAATTGCAAAGGTAAATGTTTAGAGTGGAAATAGCTAAATTTATTTTAAATTCATTTAAATAAATATCTTACACGCTGTTACTTTCTTTCAGGTAAAATTGGTTGTAGAAAAATTCATAAACTAAAAAATTTCTCTATCATTCTCAGTTTATATCGAAATATTATTGCACACATATATATACACACAAATGAGCCGCAATTGTTGAAGAAAGCCTTTTAATAACAGAAATGAAAAGTGAGCAGATCAATAATGGCCTATGGCTCAATTAATTAAATGATTTAATCATTTAATAATAAATAATAATAATGATTGCTTCTAAAATAAAAATGCTCAATAATAATGTATTATATTTATAGATTCATATAAATTTAATCCAAGAAAAGTAATGCAATCGTTAGAATAGGCTCTATTATCAATGGATGTGACAATGTTGAATCGATTGTGTCACCAATTAGAAAGCCACTAGTTGTTGATGATGATGAAAAAGAGAATGAGAGAGTGAGAGAGAGAGAGAGAGAATTAAAATAGTATATATTAAGAAAAGTAATCAGCAAAGTTTTATGAAAATTCTATTAAATGCTCTAAGAAGGATAAATATAAGAAAAGCTTAAAGATATTAATTAATTGCATTCAAAAATGCATTCTCTTCAAAAAAAAGGTATATATCGTTAATATTTCATACCAACCAGCCATTACAATATTTCTCTTCACATCTCATTAATTTTCATTTTATATTCTCTTTTCTTTACAATTCTTCTATTAAATAACTCAAATCAATGAGTATAAAACAATATCGTATGAAACAATAAAGAAATGATCGTTTTATAAATTTCATTTCATTTATATGCGATGATAATATTGATGAAATAACGATAATATAATATAAAGCACTAAAGCAAATGATATTTGATACAGTAATTTAACTTAATTTAATTTATCAAATTTTTCAATTTGTATTATTTCTAACCTAAAACAATAAGTGATTTTATGCTCTAAATTTTTAAATAAATAGGAAATTATTGTTAAATAAATATGAAATAAACTTGCAAAGATTAATCTTTTGCAAATTTCTCGGGAATCAAACATAAAAACCCGGGATTTACTGATTTATAATTAAAGCAAATAAAATGATAATTGATGGAAACTGATTTAAAATGATGAGCAAAAAATTCGATTCAGATTTGTCAATTTGTTAATTTTGTCAATTCATAATAAAAACTGAATTTCGAATCAAATTTCTAAAATTATTTTCTCTTAGAGTTCGAGGAATCTTAAATTCTAACCTCTAACCTTTAACCTTTAACATTGCATTTATCTTTCTCTTCTTTCCTTTGATATCATAATTGATTTAAAATTCTTTATTTGAAACGAAAAATTTTGTTTCAGAGATCTACAATTAAAAGTGCCGAAAATTGATATAATCTACCTTTTGTGTAATGCTATCATTAAAATAAGAATGGAATGGATCTATCCTTTAAATTATAAGTTATTTTTAAAATTTTATTTTTCTCTATAATTAAACGATTGTTTGTTTTTTATTAATTAATATTTGCTGAATATTTCAAATTATATTCTGTTATTTGATTTATATTGAAAGGTTTACAGGTTTGATTACCTTCACGACTGCTTTAACTTCACTTTTGATAAATTCTAAATGATAACCAATAATTTTATTCTTCTTCCACATTAATCAAATAATCAATTTTTATCATTTCATTCATTTCCAGTACAATTGTCATTAATTCAACAAAAATAAAAAGCTTTATTCTTTAATAAAACAAACTTCTTTATTTGACAATATTAAAGTAACTATTTTTGATAAACGAAATTATTTCGAAACTAACAAAAGATTACAATTATACTTATGAACTGAAAGTAAAAGTGATAAGATTACAATTATAATTATGAACTGAAAGTAAAAGTGATAAGTAAATGAATCATATATAAATGCGTTTAAAATTCTTTAATAATTTTTTTAATAAATTAAATGCAAATACAAATCAATGAGTGGAATTCATTGAAAAAGAAACGGAACAAATGAATGATAAAAGATCTGTAAATTAAAATATTACTTTTGGACAAAAAATTACTATCAGTGATAAATGAAGAAAAGATTTTCTTCATTATCATTTAAATTGAAAAATTAATTCCGTCATTTTCACTGATAATTTTAACAATTGTTTTTTTTTTGCATTTTCTTTCATTGAATATGATAAATAAAATAAATATTTCAAATAAACTTTAAAAAATTGTGCGGGAAAAATCTTCAAAATTTACGATAATAGTTCCAATACCAAATTCCAACATTAGTAATATAATTCCTAAGTTTTAAGAATTTTCAGATTAGCTAACCATTTCTTCTTTGTTTGTATTATCTTTACTATTATCATTTAATTGATGATACACATTTTCTGCTAAATTTTGTATTTTGAAGCATTCGCTGTTAATATATTTTGTAATATATTTATAGGCTTCCGATTCCTGAAATAGATAGAAATAATAGTTAATAAAATTTTAAATGATATCAAAATGTTTCTTCCAAAAAAACAGAAATATATGGTGCAGCTAAAATTTAACATTTTATAGCAATAAAATAACATTTAAAAATGTTATTGGTAATATCTGAAAATATGTTGAAAGTAATTCAAATCAAAATTTCGCATGAAAACAAACTGTAATATATTGCGTCGCATAGTTTAGCTGTCTGTCAACATTCCCCTTTGAACATCCCTTTAATATACAATTCAGAAGTGAAAGAGCGCATGCTATACAATTGTTTTTGTCATTTGTCATGAGAATATTGCATATTTTTTCAAGATATATTTCATCAGCTAATCTTATCGCATTCTTTCGATCAATATTACTATACATACATATTAATGCTTTGCAAGCTTTATTCTTATATAAATTGGTACCCTGAAAAATTTTAATCCTTTAATTCATTTCAATTTATCAATTAAGAATAAGAATATAACATTACTTAAAATATCACAAAGAAAGCAATTAAATGAATTCATAAATTTAGCAAAATTCTTAAAAATTTAGGATTAAATTTTAAATAACAATTTTAGATAATAAATTAAAATATAACAAATCATTTATTACAAAAATATTATTCTTTTAAAAAAGATAAATTTCTAAACGAATAATAAATGAATGATTCTGATAAGTTACCACTGAATAAATATGCTATGTAAATTTTATTTTATTTAATACAATGCTGTATCAGATCAGTGAAATATATTTTTCAATTATTCATTCATCTGAATCATTATTTGTAAATTTATTCATCTTCATTTTTCCTTATAATAATAATTTACCTCATCCATAAGTCCAATAAGTAGTAATATAAGTCCTGATTCTATTGCGGATTCTATATAATTCTTATTGGTTAGAATTCTTGCCAAAATTGAACAAGCATCATAACCAAAGTCAGGAGTTGAATTTCGAGCAAGAACAGACATAATCTTTCCAATAAATCCTGCTTTAATAAGTTCCTGAAATAATAATTTATATAAGCTAATATAATTTTCAATTTATTCATATATTATTATCACCTTGATTAGATGAGATTAGAACTATATATTCATATCCTGAAATATGAAAAGTTTTTTGTCATTTTATCAATATTTTATTAAAGATAAATAATTCACTGTTAAATTTGCTTGGGTAAACAAATTTTGAAAATTTCTAAAATTAATAGATTGATAGGTGAAATGGTCAAACTTTTTAAAATAATGTAAAATCTGAAAAGTTTGTCTAAATAAAATAAAAGAATAAAAATTACATTGGTGTTGCAATTACGTTGTTTTGTGAATTCTGAAGCAATATTAAATGCCGCTCTAACTTCACTACGTCGTGGGCTATCGAGAAATTTCAAAATGATTTCCATATAAGCATCTTCAAATGTAACAGTAAAATCTTTGTTACTTACTACTTCAAATATAGCATCCAAAGCAGCTATGCGAATTTCATAATCCTAAACAGTTATTTATTTTTTCAAAAATAAACAATGCAACATTTCTGCAAATTGTTAATTGCAATAATTAAGTATTGTTAAAAATGCAATTGAATGTTGAAGAGATAGATTTTTGGATTAAAGAAAATTCTCCAAAAAATAGTCAAAATGAACGATCGGCTATTGGTTTGAATAAAGCTTATAAGATAGGCAAGGAATTAAACAATCGAAAAAATTGTAAATTGCAAAACTAATTTAAATTTAAAAGCCCTCTAATAATTTTCTAAGCAAAATTTCCTAATGAATATTTATTTGCACTTCGGTTAAGATTTATCTGTCAAAAGAATATTAATCAGAAAAGAGTAACCTCATGTCGTAAAAGATAACGAGCACTATTTGCGACACGTCTTAGAATAAATTCTGGAACTGGCTTAAGATAACATAAGCGCCGTAAAAAAGTTGCAATGACGGATGCAAATTCCCTGGAAATTACTTGATCGTACATTGATAGCAATTCGCTTATATGCAATGAACCAAATGTTGCAAGAATATCACGCACTGCAACACTTTTGGTAGCAATAGATGAACATGCTTCAATAGCCTGAAAATTTATTACATGACAAAATTTTTTAATTATTATTATTTCAGATTAATTTTATGATTAATAAAAGAAAGAATGGATTAGAATGATTGGAAAATTATATGAATATATTGAAGATCTCAAAATAATTTTATAAATAGAAATGATTGAAATATTTAAACATCTAAATAGTATACCTCTTGAATGATGAAATACATGTCACTTTGTAATGCAGCTGCAAAACCTTTCAATAGTCCACATGGTATCAAATTTTTCAATTGTGTTTCATTCATATATTTGGTAATAACCGATAGAGCATGTATCGCATAGTACTGAATGGTGGAATTCTGTAATGAAATTCTTTTAAACAATTCTTTATTTAATATACAATATGTAATATAGTATAGTTGAAAAAATTACAATAAAATGTTTATAAAATATATCCAAAATTGAAAAGTTCGTCTATTTCATCCTTAATTTTTCTTTGGTATTGGAAGAAATGAACATTTTAATTTAATTTTAGGAAAACTATCACGAACAAACCGTAAATTGCATTCCCTGAATTAAAATCACATCTACTCCTTGTTGAATTATTTCAGCAATCCTTTCCGATATATCATAATTGTCGACAAGTTCATTGAGAAGTTGTAGAGAATGTTTAAAATTTTTCATTGTTGGTTTTTTACCAAAAATATCCATAATTTCTTTAATACTTGGTCCATGAGAATCTGAAAATGATATTTTAGGAAAAACATTAACACTTCGAATTAATGAATTTAGAAATGTTTATTGAAAAAGTTGTAAACAATATCTATGCTTTCATTTCTTTGCATAAATTTGTTTATAAATTTTTAGTTGTTTACTAATTTTTGCAACCAGAGAAAAAGATAGTGAAAGTATTATCGCATTTAAATCAAAATAATTTCACTCTCCATCTATCAGATTATTAAACTATTAAATCACTGGTGTACATTTTGTGAAATTTAATTCACTTTTTTAAAATGAAATTACAACACATAACATTTTATCAGATAAAGTTAGTCTTGAGAGAAAGCTTCAAAGAAAATAATTCAGATAAACTTACAAGGATGTTCATTTTTTGCTTTCAGACATTTCACACAATTTACAGCATTAGCTGAATATTGTGAACTATCAATATTGAAAGTTTGATCATCGGAATCACCGCCATCAATTAATGCTTTCTGCTTTGATTTCTTAAGCTGCTTATGTTTTTGATTATCTTTATGATTTTTGCATTTTCCTTTCTTTCCCATTTCCTCTTTTTCCGGAATTAATTAGAATAGGAAGCTGGAGCTGTAAGTAAAAGAAGATATAAAACGATATGAAAATTAATCAATTAATAATTGAACAAAAATCTTCGCAATTGCCGGAATAGCGGGAAGTCTTTAGAAGGTACAAAGTACTTAATTTACACTAAATTACACTTCTTAATCATCAAGAACTCTCAGTCTTTCGCTCCTGATGGAAAAAAACCAAAAAAAGTTGCAAAGCCGAACAGCAAAGAAGAACGACTGATCAATGAGAAGTTTTTGAGGTCAAGTTCAAGCATATGAATTAAGCGCCAATCGCTCGTTATCATACTTGCGCATGAGCTGAGAACGATCCTATGGAAGAGAAATTTTCATTGTTTTCCACAACTTTTTCTTTCGATATACGATACATGGTAACATTATTAGATCATAATCACGTGACGTATAATTATTCAATTGGTTACACGTATTATGCCAATTCATGTAAGTCACGTAAATTCATGCGTACTACAAAAGTCTCCGTATAACTAAATCAATATATGTTTCTCTACATATATTATAGCAAATTTAACGCGTTGTTTTACGTGAAGACATAATAGCAAAGTATAGTTAAAAAATTCATTATTTTTACGCGAAGCACGTCATGTCACCATTTCTTCGAATCTCATTGAGAAATAATAATAATTACCAAATTTCAATATTTATTAAATTTAGGTTTAGCATAAATTGTTGTCAAAAACTTGAAAGCTAACTTTTAAATATTTAGTTTATAAGTCTTTTAGCATTTCTCTTAATCAAATAATACGGTTTAGCCATTTTCAAAATATCAATACAAGTTTATTCAGTTCTTCAGTTTTCCTCATTTGTTCAGTATGTGTTTTGCGACTTCTTCATAACTCTCTGACCATTCGTTCCTTTATTATTCTAAATACTTAAAATCCGAACTATTACAAAAAAATCATTTTATAATATGGTGTCAGAAAAAAGTGTGCTTCCGATCCAGAATTTCCAAGAGAAATTGTGCAGACTTTTTTATATGATCACTTTTTCACTGCTAAATTTACTCACAAATTCATTTGATAACTTCATTAAATTGCGTTTGAGCAGTAAAATGAATAGAAGTATCTAATCGCTATCCTTTTATCCTAATCAATTCAGGCTATTTGGGAAAGAAAATCAGTACTTAACGGAAATGATAAACAATTCCAGTCAATCATTTATCTCTCTATCATTCAATTTCTCTTTTCTATAATATTGAAGTTTGTTCAATGAATTCTATTTATTATAAGTTTTCTATTCGAAATAGTATTATTTATTTCATTTCTTACTTTAATAAATTCTTTGCACTAAAGAAACAAACATTTCATCTAAACAAAAAGCAAAAGTTTTTAGAATGGATCAATTTATCATCCAACAATCGCCAGTGAAAGTTAAACGACGTTTATTAGTATCTCTTTCTTCTTATATAAACTTCAGATATTCAAAAATTTATTAACGTAAAATTTCAGACCATGCGGAATTCATATTTAAATATTTGTCACATTTTCGAAATTATAAAATTGCTTAACTGAAAGATAAAACTTATTCATTGATGTCTAACTGTTAATAGTTGTATGGTTTGATAAGCGGTGACTGTATGACAATGAAGAAATCTGTGCAGGCTTTTAATTTCTGTCAGAATATTAATTTATCATCTGGTATTATCCAATTCATAAATCCACCACTATGGTCAGGTAAGTAAATGAATAAGACTTTTCTTTGTTCAGATTAAAAGTTAAACGATTTTAATGAGATTAACAATCAGCGATATGATAAATGAAGAAGAAATAATAAGAGATGTGGACAGAGTATAAAGCCAGTCATTCCATTAGTATAATCAACCCTGAAAAGTACAAAATTAGAATCAGTAAAATTTTTTGAATATTTCAAATTGTCTCATAAATTTCATAACTGATCATTTGAGTCAACAAAAATTAACTCCATTAAAAATTGTCCGTTAATATTATGTTTAATAACATTTTCAGTCATTTCAATCACATATCTTTATTTAAAAAATTGATGTTTAAAAAAAATCAATAATTGAATAACTTAAAATTACATAAATAGAAAATAAGGAAAAAGTATTAATTTGAATATTTGTCATTTAAACATTTATAAATAAAATATGTATACGTCGATGTTGTTTCTGAGATCTGATTGTTGTTGCAACTATTTCACAATTGTTGAAGTAATTTTCTTATTTAATTCAACTTAGTTAGATTGTTTCATTTATTATCTTCTTCCATTTCAGAATCTTCATTGTTGTTTGGTGGGCGTAAAGGGCGATATTTACCATTGAAAATAAACAATGTTAATGGATTGGAAGAAATTCCATATCGAGTTGTAATGCTCGGTGATTATGATAGTGGTATTAGCTTACTGAGAAGTGAAATGATACAATTAAAGTCATTCAAAGATATTCCATTTTCTGCAAGTATTTTCATTAAAATTTAACCAACAATCAATAATCTTCCTTATATTTCACAGTAATTTTGTAAAGAAAAAAGTAATCAAACGTATGATAAATGATTTTTAGGAATAATTTTATTCTTTGATTCTAATTTCAGACAAAATAGATGATTGAATTGATTGATTAAAGTTAAGATGTGAATAAAATTTTGTGCTTTAAAATCCACACGATATTTGTTACTGAATTGAAATAGTTATATAGGATGATGCGGAATGTTGCACGACAATAATGCGGGATGGGCATGAGATGCAAATGTGGCTTTTTGTTGATTTGCATAGCTTTGAATTATTTTGCAAACAATGTACCGAAAGCATTGATTGCTGCATAGCATGCTATTCGATTGCAATTACGAAAACCTATCAGCATGTCGTCGAAAAAGTTGAAATCATTAATAATTAATATAATTTCAATAAAATTTCATTTTTAAAAATATTCCAATTTCATGACAGACATGAACTTATTTATATACAGAACAGTCACTGTTATTATTTTTATAATTTTTTGCTTTTATTTTAATTCCATTTCAATTTTACTTCAATTAAACTTATCAATATATTGTATATAATAAGCAATCTAAATAGTTGAAAAGTTACTAGAATATTGCAATTTTGATTTTATTTTTTACAGTGGATTCCCGAATTTGTGAATAAATTCCCCGGAAAACCGATCATCCTATGTGCATTGAACGATCGCGAAATATGTACATGTGGTGGCGGCATAGATGAAACAATGTTTAAACATGATTTCAATTTTTGTAACAGTCGTCTCACACAAATCGACGTTTCTATTTTCAATAAGGTAGTGGTCAATATGATTCCATCATATTATAATTTAACATCTGTTTAACCATTTTTTATCAAACAAAATTGAGGCTGTCAAATTTTGAAAATTGAGAAAATTTTATTTCAGCGCAGCGTGAAATCACTGTATGATTGCATAAAAAATGCTTCAAGCAATTCGAAATTGAAGCAAAGAGAGGAGAATAAAATGAACGTTTGCATTCTAATGTAATTCATATCTATCATTTCATTAAAATTAAAATTCCATTGAGATTATGAAAAGTTATTAATAAAGTTTCATCAAGTATTGCTTGTTGTACCACGAAGCTAACTCATTTATGCACTTGAAATATTTCGATGTTAGAAGTAAGTTAAAGTAAATTGATGATGGGAGCGGAAAACTTTTAGGATAGGTTATCTAAATTTTATTGGACATCTCTCTCTTCGAAATATCATGAGTGTGACTCATATGAAATAATATTTCAATTTAGCAAATTGCAATGAAAATGAATTTGATGTAATGTGTGCATGGTTGCAGCTATGAAGTTTCCTAAAACCTTGGTATGACTCATTTCAATATCGGATGTCACCTAAACCATTGGAAAACATTGTGGAGTATTGTCTTCGACTGGCGGACAGCAAAGTTCACTGAGCTTTGACAAAAAGCAAAGTTCACTGAGCATAAACTATGGAACATAATGATTTCAAGTTGTTGCTGCGTTAGATATGTGATCGCAAAACCTGATCATACTGAGAATGTGATATGGGATTTCCTTCTGTAGTTGGGGTAATTCTTGTATCTTGAATGCGGAGCTGTGCCTTCATTTATCCGTGAAATGGAGTTGTCTTATAGTCGTGGAACAAGCACTTCCCAGCAACGTTACTTCCATTCATTAAGAAATTGGAGCTTCCTCTTCTAGGATTGTACATATCAGAGACAGAACTTTCTGAGATCTGGTTTCTCGTCAAATGCAGGAATGGAAGTGTTAAAGACAATAATACTCTTAGTATTTTCCTCACTCTAACGTCTGAAAGTTTTGAAGACAATAACCAGTAATAAAAAACTACGCTCCCTGATTTTCGGAGAGAAAGTGATGTATTTTAGGTGATAGGGATTGTGATATCTAAAGAATTAGTGTTACTCTTCTGCCTCATTCACAGTTTTATTCTCCAGAAGAGATTGAATGATGAGACACTCGTCTCTCATTATTGCTTACATAATAAATGAAATGAATGCAACCTTTGATGTGCATATGCTTTTTTCCTTTACTTTCGCGCGACTTCATTTTCAAACATCAAAAAAATATTGATTTTATTCATATAGTAAGATTAACAGCTCTTCATAAACTTCCTCTAACAAATTTTTGAGTATGAATTCCTTGCCTCATCCCCTATTTTTACTTGTAACAAGAAAAACTGTATGTTAAGGTACTCTGATTCAGGTCAAGGACAGCTGCTGTTGTGAGTTTGAATTACAACAGAAAGACTTCCCCTCATGACTCTCTTACCCTCTCAAGGACGGCAGTAAGGGAGTGTTGATGAATTCGATAATGCTTGGACGAAGTTTAGTTGTGAAACGTAAACTATAAAAGTACACCCAGTCTCAAGGGTTTTGTCGGAAAACATTTGAAATGTTTGAATTGTGTTAATTTCGTAATTATTTTATCTGATAATCTTCGTTCTTTTAGAATTAATAAAGTGATGCGGGAAGAAACTACTGCAGCATCAACTAAGGTTTGCATTGCATAGTTATGATTTCTATTAATTGTCCGCCGATTATTTAGCAGTAGTTAATTTAGAAAATAACAAGATATATGTGATACTAAAAGAATGCTGTCATTATGATAGAATGATAGTATGTAGTTATCTTAACTCTCCTATTCTAACATAGAGAATGTCGGATTTTACTGACCGTTGATATTGCTTTATTCACATAATGGCAAATCTATAAACAATCTACTTCAACTAAATTTGAAGTTTTGTCTTATTTGCCCTTTCTCTTCATTTTATTATCACTCATCAGCAAGTATTTATAATGCTTTTGAGCAGGTCATTAAATTGAATTACTTCATAGTCGAATTATTCGGATTACAGAATTGAATTACTGAAATGAGAGATGCATTTCTCAGAAATGGGTGTTTAATGATTGATTTTTTAGGTGTATTATTATTTGGATGATAATACTCCATACTTATCCGTAGTACCCGTTGCAGACGATGCTATTACTCTTGGTGATTTTAAAAAAGTTTTCAATCAGAAAGGGTACAAGTATTTCTGCAAACAGCTGGATGAGGCAGTTGGATGGTTAATATCTCTAATATTATTGTTGAAGTAACCACTAAGACGTTTTGTATCCGATTTTTGAATTGCTTGGGATATACTTAATTTGTAAGAATGTCTGAAATTTTAAATATATAGTTTTGTTTTTCGACATAAATTCGTGAGTTATTTAGCGAAGTCAAAGTAGAAATTCGAGATGATTCAACGAAATTGGTTAAATCAGCAAATGGGCTCATCGAATTGGTTCTTCTTTCTTCATTCGAGAACATTTACTGTTCAGGAACGTTACCAAGAGTATCTAACAAAGCAAACAAAGGACAATTCGCTAATGTTAAGTTAAAGGTGATTAACCGTTACATCGGTTTTGATTAATAATTTGTTTTTATTGCAATTTAGAAACTTTAGAAAGATGTAAGATTTGAAATAAAGATTTAGCTAAATTTGAATCTTGTATCTTTTCCAATTTTAAGGATTTCAATTTGAGAAAACGAAGGTCCTTACATGATCTGGCTGGTGAGAATCGCGATTTGTTGTATATACATAGGAATAAAAGTGATGAAAACAGCATCACGGCGAGCAGTTTGTCGACAGTGATTAGTAGTAAGTGATTTTCATGATATGAACTGTGTATGCTAGTTGACTTTTTCTGGTGATTTTATGGAAGCGTGAAATGCTATTAGGAGTGACTAGCTGCAAGAAAAGGTTGGATTTTATGACAAGCCATGGTTTCGCTAGCTCAAGTTGCATTTCTTTAGCTAAGTTTCATCTTCGTTGCTACAGGAGAAAAATTTTCGTTATCTTAGAACTTATGTAACAATTTATTGGCATGTGAAATTGGTCAATCTTTTCCACTTTGTTGATATAGCTAGTATAAATCTAACGTCAGCCGGGTTGAGAGAGTGATTATTGATTCTTTCTTTTTTTGGAAACCGATCGAGAATGATGTTTCACAATCGTAAATTACAGTGTCCAGATTCTTCAGTTTATTGACCCTAGAAACTTCGAAATTCTATTTCTGTTTGGTTTGTTAGGTATCTTTAGAAAACGGAAAAGCCATTGAAAATAAGCATTAATTTCAGAAAGAGCTGGTGAAGGTTTGGCAGAATTATATGCATCAAATTCGGAAGATCCGTATCATCTGGAAGATATGAATTCAAGGCAGTTTCAAAATTCACTTCAAATTACCACCAAATAGTTCAACCATTGTTGTTTCATTTTTTTTTCTTGCAGATATTTCAAACATCCTGGGGCTTGCGCAGTTTTTCCTACTTCACAACTTGCTAGTTCTAGTGGTATACCTCCATGTCCTCGTCGTCAAAGACGTCCCCGCAAAGAAAGATATCGAAAAGCATATGTACCGAGCACAATTTCCTCAGTTACTGAAAGCAGGTATGCATATGGAATTGATTTTGAAAAATCCAAGATGAAAAATCCCTCATCAGTCTCGTTTATCATTCTCAACATTTTACTATTTTGGAGGCATAATTAATCCGTTGTGTTATATAACATTGTTATTCTGCAGCATGACTTCTCTTTCACTTCCTCGAATCGATGTTGTAACACTGCCTATGAAAAATGGAGTCTTCTTAGGAATTTCAGTACTAAGTCATGATGGTGGCATTTTTGTTAGCGACATTCACAGTGGTTAGTATTTTTTACTAAATTTATTTTGTAGCTCACTAAACTAACCTCGCAATCAATGAAAGTTAAAACTCAAATAAACCTCATTTATTGCTGTCATAGGTGGTATAGTTGATTTGGATGGTCGAATTGAAGTTGGTGATCAGATTGTTCAAGTAAATCGAAATTCATTCGAAAATTTAAGCGACATTGAAGCAGTTGATCTACTACGTAAAGCAGCAGCTAGTCGAAAGTGGTTTTTTTTTGAATTTTTTTTGTCGGATGTCATTGTTCAGAGACGTCATATTACTGAATTTTATTTATATTATCATTTCAGACCAGTCACACTTTATGTTGCTAAACGAACATGTAGCAGTTCAGATAAGCGAGCAGATATACTCTCAGGGATTGCCTCAGAAACGATGCCAATCGATATATCACTTTGGGTTGAGAGCACAAAGTAAATATATTTTTTTCTTTCCTTAATAAAACCATTTTAATGCTTATTACGTGCTGATTTCTTCATATTTTTATATCTATGAATGCAAAATTAGAGTATTTCTTTATATGATCTTAAAATATGACTTACATGAATCCATATTCAGACACAATATTATGAGGCCAGCAAAGGCTCTTGAGGAAATGGTTTCGGTCAACGATGCTGGCACTACACTTGTTGCTGAGGAAAATGAGACCGATTTAGAAGGTGCTTATGCAGAGCGACGAAACGGACTCCCTTTAAGCAATCAGAATTGTGCGAAATTGAAACAGTTAAATTCACCCGACTTAAATATTTCGCCAAATATCGAAGATATTGCAAGACGACGAGAAAATGAAGAAAATGGTCTGTAAATTTTTATCATATTATATTTGGAAACAAACAAAGATTCTTATGGCATGTTAAAATTATTTACGAATTTTTTTTGAAATGCTGTCAACTTAGCTAATAAGCAGATTAAGAATAAGTCAAGACTGACTTTATGAGTCTTTTCGGAAAGACATTATGCAGTTGACTTACGGTTAAGGAATGCTGGGTGTCTTCTTGCACTTAATAACTGGACAAAACTGATCGGTTTTTGGCTTTTTATTGTATGTGTATAAGTTACAGAACAGCAGTTGGATAATCTGAATGTTGATATGGATCCGGTGATCATCCTGAAGTATATGGCTTTACCCAACTCGGGATTACAAATAAAAAATCGAAAATGGCTAAAAATTCCTGTGCCGATGTCTTTTATTGGTATGATTTTCCTATTAAATAACACATGCTCTCTCATAACATATGCAATGTAACATTAATTTAAGGCTGTGACCTTGTTGACTGGTTGATGGAACATGTGCACGGTATCACGGATCGTAAAGCAGCGCGTATCTATGCATCAAAGCTGCTCGGAGAAGGACATATTAAACATGTCGTTAATAAACTTACATTTACGGAAAAGTGCTATTATATTTTCGAAGGTGCTGTTATTTGGTTGTAAAAAATTGCAGTAATTTAATTTTAGGAAAACTTAAATTTTTATCTGATCTATTTTCGATACTTTTTCGCAGTAGTAGATTTTGTGCGATATGTGACTTAGTTCAGGTATACATTATTTAGACCAGTAATTAACAACACTCAGACCTTTTTTGAATCACAGTTTCTTGTTTGACATCTCTTGTTTTAGATTCGATACTTTCTGTTCGTAACAAAAACAAATCGGACTCTTCACTGGGTAAGGCTGGTGCTGAAGTTACCACCGAGGTGACATATGTTGGTTCACCAGCACCAGCACATCTATCTCGTACTAATCCACGAAATGCATTGAGTGGAAAAGCCATGCTTGATCAGTCTTGGCCTCATTCAGCGGTAGCTTCAAGTGAACAGCGAAAAAGTTATTGCGACAGCTCAACGGTCGGTCACATAGCCTCTGTTTTCTTTGATCAAACTTTCGTTCCTATGTCTTGTTCAAAAACTTTATGGCTTCATGGCATTTTATCTTCACTTATGAAGATGTAAAGTATTACAGAATGATTATGCATCCGTCATGGGTCCAGATATGATTGATTCTACGCTCCTTACTGAGGCACCAACACTAAAGCTGTCACATCGTATGCTTCCTAGTCGCCTGGATATGGAACAACGGATTGATGGATGTCAGGTAGCCATATGATCAAACAGAATTTAGAAAAAGAAATTGTGAGATGCAGAGCTCCACATTTCATTGGTTTATAATATATATTATTTTTCCATATCAACCGTTTAAACATCCTGAAGATTCAATTAAGAAGTTTGTTTGACTTATATCTTGAACGAAACCCCTATGGGTAATAAAATGAAGGATCAATTTTTTCAGGTTGCTCAACCACCAAATACTCCGAACTCATTGCTGCAAGAACAAAGGAATGCTGATAGCGAAACTGAATTTGAAATAGTTGAAGATAACAAACTTTTGGTCATGCAATAAGAAGCAGAAGGACTCAGAATAAAATTTGTAGCTAAGAAGGAGATGATAAAATTTTGAACGAGTGTTGTGAATGTTTTTTTAGATATTTAAATATATTTATGATGGTTTTTTAAAATTTTTATTTGCTTTAACTTCCTTCATTCTCAACACAATATTGCATTATGTATTAGAATGAAACAACTGATATCCTTGGTACTGTATTTTTGTAGCATACAATACATCACACACATATGTGAATGCGCATAATATTTGTATCTACATTCTTGTCATACATAAAGTTCTGTTTTGTAAAAGTTTACTTCTACATCAATCAATACATTCAAATTTAGATCTATTTTATAATACAGATTATCAAGTTTGTCAGCCAGTTAAAACGCAGTCGTTTTGTCGCCCTTCGGTGAATACGAAGTAATACACGATTAGAAATATCAGGAATCCTAATGGATAGAATAAACGACAAAAATTATCCAAATACCTAGAAATAAAAACTGACTGATTTGAACGCTAAATTAGTTTAATGCAGAATATGATGATTAGGAGGGGGAAGTTTGTTTCTCGATTGATTGATAGATGATTAAAGTGGCAACACAATTGCTTACTGACCTTCCGCGTTTGTGGTACTGTTCAGCTCTAGCCAGCATCAGTTCTCGTGATTGCTCCGTTAATACACTTTTTTTCTTCTCTGCTGACTTCCTCTAAATATACAAGCATTTGAGCTTATTGTAATGACAGGCTAGTTCGGATAATTTTGTAGATAACAGTTAGTAGCAAGATGAATTCAAACTAATAACCCGGTAACTTACCAATTGTTTGGCTCGTTTATCCAATGCAATAACGATAAGCGTTTGAAGAAGTGTAATGAAAACAAAAGCTGTAATAAAACCAAACCATAAATCAATTGCCTGAAAAAGAAAACACTTCATGAGAAGGTAAAGGATTTCCAAAATTTCTCATGAAATCTAGATAATTCATTCGACAGCAAATAAAATAACCTTCATGTAGGAAACACTTGGAAGATGTTCACGAGCACCAGCTGATTCTGTTGATAACGTTAAAAGTACAGTAATTGCAACACCAATACGTCCTTCCATGAACTCTTCTGGAAGCCATACACCAACCTAGCATATTTAAAATTTATTATAAACTTGGAATAATTTCAAAATATTTAATCAAATTATAGTAAACGATAACAACAGTCAGTACCCATGAAAACATTAGCGCCAATGAAGTTGGTATATAAGTTTGAGCGATATGAAAGCCAACATCACGTTTCAATCGGAAAACTGCTTTCAGACAAGAAAAATGACCTGAAAATGAATAAGTTATCAAGATCAGAAAAAATGATGTCTAAAATTAAGAAGAAAATTGTAGGAGTAAAATATTATTATTAGAAAAAACAGCAAAGTAAGAAAAAGAAGAAAGAATTCAGTTGATCATTAAGAAATGAATTATTTCATTTAATTGGTCTGAAATAATTCATTTAATTGGTTTGAAATATTTTTACAACAATAATTCATTCATTCATTCACTAATTGAAAACATTTTAAGAAATGGTCTTTAATAAATTCATCAAAAATTTTTGTCATTTGAGTAATAAATTTTTACCAATTAATGAGAATGTTTGAAATTAATTATAATTGAAAATTTAGTTTTCTTCTATAACTTATATAATATTATCGTTTACCTGATTTTCTTGTTCTTTCGCAATATGTTGATTCGTAGCGGTGAATGTAAAGCTCAGGTAAGGTAACATCTGGATTCTTATCAATTGCATCATATTTATTTGAAAACCATTCAAATCGTACAGTTTTTAACGGATATGAAACTAAAATAACATATCCGATATGTAAACGTATGTTTTCTAATCAAATTATTATCAATCTTTAATTGATAACAATATTGTTTGTTATCAGTTGATCATTAAGATAGAATTTCAGAAAATTATATTTAGGTATCAGATTAATTTTTGACTTTATTGCTTGAATTTGAGAAAAGAAGTAATTTATCCTTTCTTCATTTTTAATAAGAATAATAGCATTAATACACTTACAAGATTTAATTCGTAATTCACAAGTTTGTTTATCGTGTGGATATTTGCAGAGCACGAGATTACATGATGGCTTCAATTTTATTCTGAAAATAAGAAAAAAAAATGAATTCCTTTAATTGATAACAGTATTTGTTATCAGTTGATCATTAACACTTTATATTGAAAGTATTATTAAGGTTAATGTGTAATAATAGAAATAAAGTTAACATATATTAATTAATTAACAATAGCAAAACAATCGATTAAGCTTTTTTATCAATAATGAAATTTAAAAAGAAACAAAACGATATAAAACCTTGTCTCATAGAGTACCAATCCATCGTTATAAATTCGCATCAGAAAATTGAGAAAAGTAACTTCATGAAAAGAAGCTTCTTTAGCATTAGCAAAAAATGGATCAGGCCGCCAAATTTTTTCTAAAATTTCCTCCTCTTTAACAAGAATAGCTTTCTCATATGGATTTACCAGTCGTACATCACGCCATGCCATCATCAGAAAGATATCCATATCATAGTCCTGTAAATAAATAGATAAGTAAAATAAATTATTATATTAAACATTTTATGTATTGTGACTTAGACATGCTGTAGGCTATACGATTGAATAAAAAAGATAGTAAACTTTTAAATTTAAAATTCAAAGATTCTTGTAGTATCAGTTCATCAACAATGATAACGTTTATCAATTATTAGTAAGTTATCAGTATAAGATAGATCAGTTTATCAATAAAACAGATTGCATATTTTGTAAATAAAATCAAATGAAGAGAAACCATAGTAGAAGTTTGAAAATTACTCATCGATTCAATATAGATTCCAAAGCGGACAACTACCGCACTACCTTGAAAAACAATAGGTGCAGAAAATGGATCATATTTATTCTTTTGAAGAACTGGTAAAATGAATGAACCACCGAGTGTTCTGAAATTTGTCGAAAAATTTTTCTTTGTACAAATTTAGACTTTCTTAAAAAATTTGATTCTTTTCAAATAAGTATTATTAAAATCTAATTACTTTGATATAATGTAATTAACATAAAAAAGTTAATGAGAAAGGTCTGAATAGTTTTTAAATTAATTCTTTTCTATTGTTCAAAGTAAACTATCCAACTAATGCAAATATTACCTTTCCTTAATATTTTTTTTATAAAAATAGTTCAATTATCTGAATATATTATGTTGTAAAAGTTAAACAATTGCAAAATGTTGAAAAAATGTGAACACACTCTTCCTCGAACATCGTTCTACTAAGTATCATATCCACTTCAGTATCATTTCGTAACTTCTCAGCTAATTCGGTTAAATTAACGCCAGATAACGACAAAGTTGTCACATTCAATCCTATTGGTCCTTCAATGTCCACTCCTATAATTCAAATTAATGAAAAAGTGGATAAAAATTATGATAAAAATATGATAACTCTAATATTTTATGCATAATTTTATTTAATTCATCGAAAAAATTTTCCATACCATAATTTATATCTAAAATTAGATAACCTTCGAACTCGGTTGCATTGAATTCATTAACAGCGTTTGGCACAAAATCGGCGCAAATACCATCAAGCAATAAACCGATCAGTTGATGCCGTTCAAATACGTGTTTCGGTATATTTAGACGTAATGCTTGAATTGCATTCCAACTATGTACTAATAATCGAGCTCTGAATTCAGTTCATTCAAATACATTTCCATTCTTTTACATTATTAATTGTCTTCAAAATTAATCATTCATAAATATAGCCTGATAGTCAAATCTTATGTTGATTCATTCGTCACTCTTATCTTTGAATTGTGCATTCCTTCCAATTAATTTCAAAAATATTTCTTTGTTTACCTGAATGGCTCTATCTAATTTCGTAAAACAACAATTTCACTAATTTAAATTAAGAAAAATTTACTGTTGCAGGCTACCATCTACTTTAATTACAACTGGCGCTTTTAAGCCCTTATCATCATCATTGATAAACACCTTCTCATCATCTCCAGATTCCTCTTGAGCATCGATCCATGAATCCTAAAACAAACAAATGATTTACTTGTATAAGAAATAAAATTCATTTTGAAATATTCCAAATACTAAATTTCTATATCGGAGAATGTCAGTCATTCAAACGAGAATGCCAAGGCTATCGAGCAATTTGCGCTTAAACTACTTCAATTCACAGAAATGAACACCTTATCCAAATCTGTTGAACTATCCTTATTGTTGAGTGGCACTAATTCGTCAACATTTCTCTCTTCCTTTGATACATCCCTGAGATGTCGAGCCAAGCTGAGTCTATAACGAATTTGTAGTTATGCAAGTACATTTCATTTTATTCTCAGGAAATGATGCATAAAAAATTCAAGTTTGAATCTTAGATTGGGCAGCTGCATTTGTTACCAGTCTTACATCAGTTATTACCCGTTAGATATCGATGATGTATTTGGTGTAATTGTTTGAGATGTTACATTGTCCTCAGACTTCGTGGACAATCCTAGAAACATCTAACTGATGCTGCAATAAATTATAATAATTTATAACAAAATTTTTATTCCTTCTTGTTGACAGCTAATTGCATGAGAAATGAATTGCTGTTTAGAAATAGATTACAGATATGAAGTATACCATTTAAAGTGATATTTTGTGTCATTTCGTTTAAAAGCTTCTCGAATTGTTGCAATTTTTCCTCACTGGGATGCAACTCTTCCTGCAAAAGCAAATTAAACTGGATCATTTTTATGATTAAATTAAGATAAAAGCAAGCGACATTGATCGATTCCTTAATTAGAAGGTGCTATTATTTGCAAGTTTATCTTTAAAACAATAGATGAAAGTAAACAATAAAGCAATGGAATAGTTCTCATGAAATTCTTTCGGATTTATAAGAAATGTTGAAAAATTTGATAGAAAGCTTATAAATTTTCGCCAAAACTGTCGTTTATTAGTAATTTCTGATCATAAATGCCAACTTTGGGTGGATCATAAATGAATGAATCAATTTTTGTTATTCCTAATTGACGTGCGTTCATTGAAACTAAGTTTATCATTCAATAAATATCAACCTTGAATGGATCACAAATGAATGAATCAATTTTTGTTATTCCTAATTGACGTGCATCTTCAATTGTTGAAAACCACAATTCTCGTGGATAATTCTTACAGATTTCTTCGAAGACAATTACAATTTCCTTAAAAAGTTTTTCAGATTATGCAAAATGAACCTACGAAAAAATATTCGAAAAGTGAATTATTAACTGAACATTTATTTAGTAATTTTATTGCTAATAAGTAACTAGCAGCGCAGCTCTTATTTACCTTTTAAATTAAGTCTATCAATTAATTTGTATAAAATTTTCTAAAGCTTTAAGATGAAGTAGTTTAAACTTTATATTGATCAAGTAAGTCTGCATTCAATTTCAATTCTTGGAGACGTTTTCTCGTATTTATAATTTCTACATCGCTTGTTGTCCAAGTTGTATCATCCTCCGTAACATTCATTTGATCCTAAGAATGTTATTGAAAATGAAAAACTTTCCAACTCTAACGATTTCAAATTTTTCCTTTTTTCTTTTGAAATAAAATATAAAAAATAAACGAAAGACAAAATAATTAATGAGAAAGCAAAGCAAAACTATTGAATCAAGAAAATTGGAATTTACCAATGATGTATCAGTGCTATTAATTAGCATTGATACATTCCATACAGCACATTCAACCATTTTTGTTACATCTAGACCCATATCATAAGCCTGAAGGAATGGTATTATCGTCTATACGAATTCTTCTTCTACGCGAAAATATATTTCCGGATATGTAAATTTTTCTTGTGTAAAACTTATTTAATATATACTTGTTGTAAATATTTCTGTGCAAAGCGTAAGATGTTATTGTATAAAAACTTACTTGATAAGTTGTATTTATCCATAAAATTGGTAATTCACTATCAGTGCTATCATCAAGAATTTCGGAAGCGACATTTTTACCTTGATCTGAAATATTTAAACATCAAAAAATTGATAAGAAGATGAATTTACTGAAAGATATAATTTAAACATTTATATATAAAAGAAATATATTGAGTTCTGTTCTTTAGGCTAATTTCTTGAGTAGTTTCTATGATACAAGTGGGAAAATTATAGCTTACAAAGTTTTAAATAAATTGAAATAGTTTCAAACAAATAAGAAAGTAAAAATTGTTTAATTCAATTCAAATATTATTAAATACAAAAGAATAATTAAAGTGATAAAGTGTTACCGTTTGTTGTAGTTTCTTCATCAGTAAATTTATCATTCGAATCATTCTCAATATCAAGCAAATTATTTGTTAATAGCTTCATAATATTACTATCACTGCTTGCACCAGATTCGTTTCCTTTCTCAAATAAACTGTTATTTCTTCCACTGATATCATCTTCCGGATCGTTTTTAGGTAACAATTCATTATTCCGCAATGATTGTTGGTCACTTTAAGTGATTCTGGATTTGCTACTTTTTTGAGAAATAAAATTTCCATGGAAATAATAAAATGAAAAAAATTTATAGTTAAATTAAAGAAACTTCGAATAGGAAGTACATAAAAAACCGAGTACGTATACCGCATACATTGAAAACTTTTCGTGTAATATAATTCACATAAATTACTTACGTATATTTGACGTGATCAGTTCAAAAGTTATTAATAATATATTTTAATGAATAAATAATGAACATACCTTATTTTTTCATCCATATCACTATCATATAAATAATCGTTCTTATCAGAATCCTTGGCATTCAATAATGCAAATAGATGAAATAAAAAATAAATGCTCACTAAAGTTTTCCGTAACAGCCGGAACATTTTCCTTTCGTTTGCACGATTCAATCCCATATATCAATTTAATTTTGATATATGAAATTATTGCTATATATACTAAAACAATCTACCTATTAAAGTTTTAATTTTAATTGCAAAACATTGAAAGCGATCTCTAAATTATACAATAAATTTAACCTTTATATGTGATGATAGTTTAATTTTTAAAAAAGGAATTTTTTGAAACTTCTATATTTTTATTATCATTTGTTATTATCGATCGATAAGAGTTCAATAACTTATTCATTACCTAACTTATTCATTACCTTTTTTTCGCATACGCTCGATTACTTATTTACTTACGACAAAACTACGATAATCACGAATGCTTAAGAAAAAAAAGAAAGAAAGGAAAGTATACATCTATTTTGGCGTTCCCACAAGAACTTGATTGAGTCTGTCATTAAAATGAAATGAACGAAAAGCAGCGATCGTTAAATTCAATCAATTTCTATTTTGGTATGTTACTGAAAATGGGTGTAAATTGTAAACGAATTACTGGCTTCTTCTTCTTTTTAATTTCTAATTTTTAACTATTAATTTATTTGATAATTTATTTAATACAAAACTAAAATTGACAAATTTATTTACTATTCTAACAAAAAATTATACATTTTTTCTCTGTTTTCATTTTATTTTTGATTATTATTAATTAATGAAAGATTTTGCTGTAAATAATAAAATTAAACAATTCTTTGCTAGTTGATAATTAAAGCACATTTTGAACAAACTGGAATAAATTATGAAAAATTTTAGCTAATTATTATTAATTTTAATTTTTATTCATTTCTTCTAACTCTTTAATTACTAACATTTTCAATAGCATTTTTCTCCTTCCATTGAGAAATTTCACTTAAAATATCAGGGTATCACACAGAAAATGCATGAATTAGCAATTTTGACTTAACCTTAGTCTGACTTAGTTATAGCTTGACTTAATGAAGTCTAAGAACCGATTTGCTAAGCCAATTTGAGTTAACAATAATTTTAAAATATTCAGTTAGTTGTTCCCAATAGCTTCTTGCATTAGAGAGATGTATTAAACATATTGACGACAATGAAGATATTTTATGAAAATTCAGTCGAAAACTTAAATAATTAATTTCTATTAGAATCGCTATTTAATAGTTATTTATTTTCATCAATCAATTATTTGTAATAAGATTATTTATAATGAATTTAATTAAATTAGCTAATTAATAAAATTATATAGTAGTAAATTGATCAAATGAAATATGTTGAAGAAATTGTGCAACAGTAATTAATAAGTATATTTTGAGATACCGAAATATTTTTGTAAATTTTAATGAAGTTCTTATATACGAACTTATTTTTTTCTATCTTTAAAAAAGCTGCCACATTTTTGAATATTTTGAAATTCTCCAAATGTTTTAAAAAGTTCTTTATGTAATCCATTAATTCATAAATAATTTTAATTTCAAATTAATAATGACATTTGAATCAAATTAACAAACCAACTAATTAGTTCATGTCATTGTAACATATTGATCTATCATCGAAGTGTGAACTCTTATTTTTGTGCTCAATTTCTCTTTGAATACTCTGTAAATGTCAAGAAATGGAATAAATGATTCAAATGATTATATAATCATTTAATTGGTTCAATCAGTATCAGATAATGGCATAGCTCAAATCAAAATAATGATCAATTATGCTAATCATTGCAACATTGTTATTACCTTTCTTTCGCCTTCTATACATTCTTTTTGCATGTCGGAGAAAAAGTTTATCTTTTAATCACTTCATTATGTTAATTAAAATTAAACTTCATTCCATCATATTCATGAATTTGATGATATTTAAATTTTTTCACTGGTCTAATTTCTTAACAACAAATTCATGCAATCAATGGAATTACAATAACTTAAGACTTATTATGATCATATAAATACATCTTTATGTCAATAATGAGTGATAATATTAATTGAAGTTCTCAAAATTAATAAATATTCAAATTATTTTTTAATGAGCAGCAAGCTATCATATTTAGCATTTAGCATATCAAATCGATATACTAATTATCACATTTCAAAATTATCATATTGTCGAAGTTTTTTTTTCAATTTATATCGAAATTTCAATAATTTACTTCTTCACATAATAAATCTATTTGCGCCATATATTAGAATGATTGAGTGATTTGAACTCAAAGCACGAGATCACCGCGATCACCGCGATCAGTGCGATCATCGCGATTAACGCGATATCTAATTAAGAAATTTTTGTTAGGAAAAAAATTATTCTGTCATTTAGCCCCACTATAAAAAAAAACAGAATTAATGATTCTGTTTTATTGAAAAATCAAATTATCTATCTTATAGCTATCTTCGAATAAGAAAAACAACTAAACAGAATTATATTTTCATTTTCTTTTTTTTGTAAGGAATGTTTGAAATATTAAGCTGAACTTAAATTTATTTAAATTTAATGTTATCAATTCAAAATTTGATAATTTTGAGGAATAATTTAAGTGGTAACATTAGAAATTATCAGGGCTTTGGAACTTAATGTTTGTTTGTATTTGTTTTGTTTGATGCGCCACTTGAATATTGCCATTGTCGAACAATGTTTCGCTAATAAATTAAAACATAATGGATGAGAAAAGAATGATTGGGGGAGTAGTTTTTGATATTCTCTTGTGATAGGATATGCGATTTTCTTCACGGGTCGCTATTTGGGCAAACACAGTTCATCGGCCCTTTCATTTTAGGAATGGAACTGATTATTTGTTCGAATAAGATAAGACCCGAATTTAGATGACGATATATTACTACCACCACTTCTATTGCTTTATAGGTCATCAGTGCAATTGCTACGAGAAAGGAAGATGAGTAGAGGCAAAGGAAACCGTAACGCCTAATCCATTTATCCTGCATAACATCCATTTTTCCTTTAAGGCCGGCCGCCGTTCTTCATCATTCTACTTATGCTTACCGCAATTTTAATTTCCTAATTTAAGCGTGCTACATCTTAATTTATTATATGTTTATTATTTATCAGATCCTAATAAATTTTTTTTATTGGAAAGCAATATTTTATAAATTCGAACAGAAAAAACAATAGGTGTTAATAATTAGGTGTTGAATTTTAACTTCTAATAACAGTTAATTTATTATTTATTATCAATTGATTAATATATTAAATCAAAAATAGAATATTAACAAATTCTTGCTTCTTTTTACACAAATAAATAGGATCATCTGCATTATTATCTGAAACCTACGGAAATATAACCGGTTGTGTTTTTTTATATGATCCATTCGTTACATAATTTCCATATCAATCAAATTTCATACATTAAAAGTTCATCTATCCCTTATATCATCATAAAATTCATATGTCTAATGAAAAAAATTTATTTTATTGATCTGATACTAATTGATTGACTAATCAGCAAATCTATTGAAAAATGTTGATTAGAATTTTCGAACAAATCAGTTTTATCGTTTTCGTAAATTTGCGTGCCTAAAAATGACGATATTTAATCGAATGAGTTATAAATTTTTTTTTTGAAAAACAATTTTACACAAATGTTCGTTCAAAATTTCAAACAAAATAATTTCCGTAATCATTCCTTTAGTTGGATACAATTCATAGAAAAATCAATGTTAAATTACCAAAGCGATAGGAAGTTATTGAAGAATTGGAAGATTTTCAAAATTAATCAAAATTTCTCAGGGTGTCATGAAATGTTCTTAGTTCTGCTCTGTAATTCATTTCTAGAAATAAATGAAAAATAAATAAAAGAAACACCCCAAATAAAGAATGAATTAATTTAATGATATAGGCGATCGTCTCCTTGAAGGCGGTCAGATACTGTACGGCAAAAAATTCGCGCAAATGTTCTTTGTTCTTATTTTCCTGAAATGGATCTTTCATTCTTCAAAAAATGATATCTTTTATTGTCTTTACGGAATAATTCTTTTTTTCGTCAATAAAACTTGCCATTCTTTCACCTTGCACTAATTAGTGAAACTTTCTCATAATAAAGCATAATTTTCAATGCAAACAAATATTTTAGATAATTTAAAATAAACAAAAGAAGTATGATGTCAGCTTAAAAATGTCTTAGTCGCTTGAAATGCCTTGCATAATAATATGAATTATAAATTATAATTTATTGGAAGCAAAAATATTGAAATAAATTTTAAAATATTGGAAAGCTATTTATATTTCATACCTTAATTGGCTGAAAAGAAATTACACTACTAATAACATTACCTTTTCTAATTTATTGCAAAGTTTTCAATTTCAATTTTTCTTTCTTTCAATCTTTAACTATTATTGCTAGACAAATAATCAGTACTGATATCATTATTATTGCTAAACAAATAATCAATACTGATATAACTATTATTGCTAAACAAATAATCAGTAGTGATATAATTATTATTGCTAAACAAATAATCAATACTGATATAACTATTAGTGCTAAACAAATAATCAGTACTGATATAATGCATTGATTACTTCTTTTGCATTGATATTTGTAAAATCAGATACGAACAATAATTTAATATGTGTTGTGATAATTTTTTCAGCATTTAAAAAAATTTTATATTAGCAATTGATTTTTTTGTAAATAAATAATTGTGCTAAAATTGTTTTACATAATATTATGTTAATGTAAAAACATATTTGTGCATAAGTAATATAGCACACAATTAAATATATTACTAAAATTTTACAATTAATTATTATTAATTATTAATAATTTTGCTTTTAATTGTTTATTATTTATTCCTTTTATGTAAAAATAGTTTTTTAAATAATTTTCAAGATTGTTGAATTGAATTTTATTAAATAATAGAATTGATTGTTAATAATTAAATAATGTGAAATTAATCGCTGATATATTTTTGAAATTCTCTAAGGAAAAAATAATTTAAAATGAAAATTTTATAGGATCAAGATTACCTAACAGCAAACTCCCTATAGAGGGAGATGAAATCAAGAAGTGCCATCATCTATGCGGATCGTCTATCTAATAGTTCAAGTACAACCAAATGTAATATAATGGATAGTGATCAACTAGAAGTTCGTCGTGAACGTGCCTTCAAATGTATTATATCCATTGCAAGTACTCTAAGTATTTCCAGTTTACTGACACTGTGTCTTGTTGCACCATCTGCCTATAATTTTGTGGACAATATGGGAACATTCACGAAGCAGGATTTCACCTTTTGCGATGTATGCATCATTTTTCTTTTATATTTATGAACAAAAATTGAACTACTAAATACAATATATGGGAAAAAGTAAAGCTACAAAATTATTGAAGCTTTGAATTCTCTTTTTTTAATTAATCAATTTCTCTGTTTATTTTAAATTTAAAAAAATATGAAATATTTATTTTTAACAAATTTGAATTACATGTGATAAGGTGATAAGGCATGGTGAAAAACAATCATTTCAATCTTATCTGAATTTTTTCCTTAAATCGATTACAATTAATAGTTAAGATTCTTTCACTCTCTCTTTCAAAACTTACCAAAGCTTACATTAGTTGATAGAATGAGGAAAATACATTGGTGTAAAAGAGAGCCAAAAAATCGGTTAATTTCAAAAATGAACCAGCGTAGCGGCAAAGTTCAAAAGATAATGGAAAGCTAAGAAAATTCGCAAACAATCTTATTAATCATAAAATTCGCTTTCAATCACTACACTAAAAATATACGTTACAGTAAATTGGGCAGTAAAAAATGAGAGATTTCATTTAAATATAATTTAATATTTGCATTAATTTAATTTTTTACAAGCAATTAATCTTATTTAAATCAATTCTATCCATTAAATATTTATGGCAAATTGTAAAATATTTGTTATTTAAACAATAGAAATTATTATATTTGTAAGAATTGTAAATAAAATTTATAATTTGAAATTAGTTGTTTGATTTAATTAAAATATGGATGAAATAATTAAATAATTAATAATTAATTTTCACAGGCTGCAACACATGAGCTGGAGGAAGAACTATCAAAAATACAAAGAGTGAATCCAAATCGAACAAGAAGAGATGTATCACACTATAGTGGCTTCAATCCAACAATGCTTTTAACAGAACATATCGCCTTTCAAGAATGTCCTGGTCAGTGTTCTGTGTCATTTCCAATTATCATTTGATCATTTCATTTCTATCAATCATTCAATCGATAATTTAGAAATATAAAATCTATTTCTTTTATCCTAATTTCAAATGTATAAGATTTCAAATATTTGCACCGCAATTACTATATAAGAATTAACAGAATGATTTCAAATTTTCATACTTTTAATTGTTGACAAAAAATTGTCATTACGACAATTAATGGAATGGTTGCTAAAAATTATTTCAAAAAGAAAATTTGGATTTCTTTATTTTCTAGCATGCTGTATACCTGGTGAACGAGGAGAACCAGGTGATGCCGGTCTTCCAGGACTTCCAGGAAGTCCTGGTCCAGATGGTGCACCTGGTAGGCCCGGTGTTACACCGAATGCTTCTTGTATTCCAGAAAGAATATTCGAACCACCGCCATGTCTTCCATGTCCCCAAGGTCCACGTGGTGTACCTGGTCATCCTGGATTTCCAGGTGATCCAGGAGATCCTGGTATACCTGGAAAACCCGGTAATTTTGTTACACTTTAGTGCCGTTTTGAAATTCTTGCTCATTTCTTGTATTTCAAAATAAAAAGCAGTTTTAAAAATGAGAATTGTTTTTTTCAAATTTTTCTTTTGAGGTGCTGATGGATTGCGTGGTAAGCCTGGTGAAGATGGACCACCAGGTCCACCTGGTCCAATAGGTCCCGCTGGACCACCCGGTGAGAAAGGTCCTACTCCGCATGCGCATGTTATTCCTGGTCCTCCAGGTGATCCAGGTGATCCGGGATCATGGGGACCACCCGGGCATCCAGGTTTGTTCTGTTTCAATCAAGGATTTAACATTAGAAGGAATTCGTCAAATAAATTTTTTTTCCTTAGTAAGTTATAAGACAGTAAGTTATAAGATATGCATTTGATTTGCAGGATCAAACGGCGAAAATGGCTATACTGGACCACCAGGTGAAAAGGGTTGGCCAGGACCACCAGGACCTCCTGGTGCAATTGGACCGCCTGGTGCACCGGGACCTAGAGGAGAGCAAGGGCCATCAGGTCTGTTTATATAGAAAGCTCATTGAATTTTGCTTGTTTCAAAATATTAAAATTTTGAAATTAAAATGAAATATCAGGAAGAGAAAAATTGCAAAAATTTTTTAAAAAGAGCTTTAGTGGTATCGAAATCAGTGATACTTATAGAAAACATCACATAATCTTAAATTTTAGGAACTCCTGGAACATGTGTATGTCAGGATACAGAAGTAGTTATAGACGATATGTCTCGTCGACAACCGGATGCAAAAAAAACGGGGTATGACAAGGAGGAAGGTGATGAAAAATACGAAGAAACAGGAGAGAGCAACGGTGGAAATGTTTATGAGGAGTCTGACTATTTGGAACAGCTAAAAGAAACTTCGCAATCTAATACCATGGAAAAATCGAAAGAACCGAATTCACTGTACACGACTGACGAGAAAGCAAGAGAAGGAAATAAAGGGCCGAAACATGAGGTGGAGCCGAGCGCGCTATATGATATATCACAACAACGAGGTTCAAATACACAAAAGCTGGATAGTGGTATGGTTCCTCAAGAAATTGGTTATCACCACTGATAACCATTGATAATGTGATCTTTGCTGAAGGATTACTGCCATGCATGCGTTAGTACCGCAGTATGCACGGGTAGCTCTTACTCTTATTACACTTAATTAATTAAATCGAGCAACCTTACTGTTATTTGAATTAGCTTAAAAATTTGGAAAGTTAAGATTTTTTTAAATTATTCCCTATGCTAATTCAAATGCTTTAAAACTTCGGAAGTTATTTTAAAATTATTTGATCAAATTATCTGACACTTTCATCGTTTTTCTTATCTCGTTTCTTCTAAAGATCGGTAAATAGCTACAAGGGAGCTATTTATGGTTATTTTTTAAATTAATTTTCTTTAACTTAAAAAATTAATTTAAAATATAATTAGCCACTTATGGCCACATTTTAAATCAATTTTTTAATTTGAAATTAATTTAAAAGAAAATGTTATAAGCAGCTCAATTGTAACTGTTCATTTGTCTTCCATTTCAAATCGCTCTAATATTAATTATATTTGCTCATTTATGCATTATTTGAAATTTTCAACAATTCATTCATTTCATCAATTTTCCATAACCTACATCTTACTCGCTGTTCACCTCTCTTTCTTATTTATCAGCATTTGATGCATTTCAAGATAACCTTGTTTTTACTGATATCCTATTAGAACCAATAATTCTTCCTCCAATGATAACACCCGATACTTTCTAAGGTTTAAAGGTCCTCAAATTGTACCCTTTTGACATTTTTTGAACAGTAAGAAATAATTTAGGTATGTTATAATTCAGAACAGAAATGGAATGTTATTTCATACCTTTTATCATTTATCACGAAATATTGTGCTTGTACAACTATAACTTATTATGTTGAAGTTTTTCATGTCTGTTCAGAATTGTTCTATAATAAATTTGATGGATTTTAAAAGTGTAAACTTTGAATAGGATTACGAAGAAGAAATGGAATTAATTCGATTTAATTAGCTTAATTAAGGAATCCATTTGATACAGACTTCGAAAAGTAATTAGTGATTTCTGATTTAATTTAATCAAAAATTGATATTTTGAACTGTCGCATTCACTATGTTAAGAATGAAATCTGAAAGTAACCAAAAGAGAAAAGATCAAATGTTAATGAAAAAGTTTGTTTTGAGAAACTTTCTAAGAATTTCTGGCAACAATTATTTTAGCTGAAATCATTAACAATTTTCAGTAAACGAAAAAATAAAAATTTGCAAATAAAATCTGATAAATTCATTTATTAATAAATCATTAAATATTATCATTAAAAATGAATCATTAAAATAAATTAATTAATCCATGCATAAATATTCTCATGGCAAAACATTTCTTATCAGATTTAGTGAGAGAGAGAAAGAGATGGAGAGAGAGAGAGAGTATCTTCAACAGAAATATTCTTTAATTTAAATATATTTCAAAAATTTAATTCATCAAAAATTTTATTAAAAAATGATTGTGTACTCGAAAATATTAACTTCTCTCGTTTATTTTCATTTATTTTATTCGCTTTTCAACAATTTTTCCTTCTAACATCCATTTCATGAAATTCTTCGAAAGAATTTCTTTGCCTATCAAATTTTTGCAATATCGGATAGACTAAAAATGAATGAAAGAACAAAAAGAATAATTTAATTTAATGAAATTAAAATTTCAAAATGATCATATTATTGGTTTCAATTCAATGTTAAATTTTTGTAAAACATTTGCTCTGATTTTAAAAATAGATAGATTTCTTCCATCGTGTAAAATTGATGAAATTCATCATGTCAACTTTAAATGCAGTACATTGACAATAATAAATATACGACGGTGCAAATTTGACGATAAGAGGAAATGAAATAAAGTGAAAGATGGAAATGATATTTTTTGTAAAGGAAGGAGGAAAAAATTCCTTGTCCGTTCAATTTGTTTACAATTGAATAATTGACAGATATCAAGAAGCCCTTTGACACATTTGATAACAACCGATCATAATTGTCGCTATGCATTATTTCCTAATTAATTTCATTTATTTGAAATATTTCCTCCAAAATTTATCCATTTAAAATCTATAAATTGCCCAATATGGTATTTAATCTTATGAAAATAATATAGTAAATTTTAATGTGTACAATTAACAATATTTTTTATTTATTCTCTCTCACTTTTGTTTTCCACTCATAATTGTATCATTTCTTTGATCCTTGTAAATTTGATCATTTTAATATTTTCAAAGTTGACAGATTGTTTATTGATCGAATATCTAAGCTAACATGAAAATATCTTTCAGTTCGTTTTATTTATTTTGTTACTCATGCTTTACTAAGAATAATAATGCAATTTAAATTTCACATAATCTTATACTTCAAGCTGCCACATTCCATATTCAGTTTTCCGGATATCTTTTCGATTCTAAAGCTTTCAATTCTGATAAAATTTTAGAAACATTTTTGGCATCAAAATTTTTCAAATTTTAAACTTTTTTATGAAATAATTGTCATTAGTGCTTTTCATCAATTATCAGTTCAGAAAGAAGCATAAATTTATATAATAAGAAATTCAATTATATTTCGTTTTTCAATTTTTTCCTGAATTTGAATGATCAAAAATGAATAAGTATTTACAAAACATTCAACAATAAATGATATATTTTCCTTCTATCGTTTAACATACTTTAGAAAGTTCTATTAAAGAATGAATTTTTATCAATCAATTGATCTGAAATTGATCAGAAAAAGGATAATAAATTTTAACAGGTCAAATACGTCATTTTCTAGCAAGGAATGAGAAAAGGGAAAGATGACTTTGTTGGGCGGATGACATATATGAAATATATGACGATGATACAGTATGTGTTATTTTCAGTTGAACAGTTTCGTTGTTTTATGTATAAAAAGTTTTGCTTAATCTTTTTATCACCCCGAATTATTTGCATGAATCCATCGAGCGATCGTTAAATTCAAATCTTTTGCATCCCTTTCATTTCTAATCTGTTTAGTTCATCAGTTTTCCTTTTTTAGCTTTACCATTTACCTGAATTCCTAGATTTTTTTTTCCTGAAAATTTATACCTAATTTAACAATAATAAATTGTACACATAGAAAAGCGATAAGATGAATTAACAAGAACAAAATGAAGTTGACTTGAGTTGACCTAGCACATCAAATGATAATCTAGGTCGTCGTACTGTTAACACCAAATGTGTATCTGCTGATGGTATAAGGCAACCAGTGTCATCAACAACAGCATCAGTGGTAACGATAGCAACGTCAGAACATATCGATAAACCGGAAAGTGATACTGGTGAAGGTATCATCACCATAACAATATCAAAACTCATCGCATCATCTTCTAGCAAATTTAAAACTTACGACAACTTGCGAAATTCGCACTTAATCTTACTAAAAGATCAAACTGTATTTTGGAAAAGGTAATTTTTTGCATTTTATTTTTAATTCATATATTTTTCATTGAATCTTTGGAAATTTTTAACTTTGCTAATTATTGTTAATTTCTATTGCATTGTTTTATAGATCCTTTTTGTTGTCTAAAATCAATAAAATCTCATAACTATATGCAATTAAAATTAACATATTCATTTCCAGAAATTAAAAAAATACACTAACATATATAATTAAATGTAAAACTTAATCAATTAAAATATAAATGATCTAATCAAACTATTACCTTATCATTACTTTATCATCAAAGTTATCACGCGAATATATTATAGTATAGTGAACTCTTGCAGTTAATTTTTGAGTTAACTTTTAAGTGGAATTTAAATTACAACAGCAATTTTTATCCTAAGGTTCTTCAATATAGGATATCATAATTAATAATTTTGCAGCACGATAAGCCAGAGTTAAATCCTGAAAGCAGTAAAAAGGTTATCTATCAACAGTGTGAAAAAAATCGAAGATAATTCAACCGGAAATAAGAATCGGAGAAAAGAAACGCATTGTAAAGCAAATCAAACACGAAAGTATACTTTATCAAACATCAGAAGATAACAATAAGTAATAAATTCAACTTGAATTTCAACTTCTTTAAAAGAAAATTCTTCAAACTATTTCTACTACTTCTATGTTTTTTATTAAAAAGAAAATTTAATTTAAAATAATTATTTAGGAAGTGAGAAAGCGAAGTGCGCAATACGAATATAAGCAAACTTAGGCAGTAAGAAGTCAAGCCAAGAATTAATTGGAAATTTTGAAAAATTCTATGCGCGACGAATTAGCGCCTTTCAAGCAGACAATTAGCGCCTTTCAATGCAATCCTAACTTATTTTTTTTTGATTTTAACTTTCATAATTTCTCACAATTTAATATTTCACCTGGCTGCTAATATGAATTTTCTCTTAAATACATTTTATTAATCTAATAGTGTCATTTCTCTGGTTCTCTCTACTATTATTGAACGATTAAAATATTAGACCGTGTTAATTTTATATATTTCAGTGTTAAAATTTCGTTTATACACATATAGTATAGAAAATATAATAATAGTAAACATAACAATATAACAATAAGAGGCGAACCATTTTTAATTAATTAATTAGCTAATTTTCAAAAATTCTTTGATTTATTGTATTTATCTTTAAAATATTTTCTTCTTTTTCATTTTAACATGATTAATTTAAATTTTTTTTTAAAACTTAATTCAATCTTTTTAGGCCATCGTTTATTGTGTGTCCTTAAAAAATCAATTTACAATTGTTAATTAATACAAATTAAAACAAAAACTGGATCACTGACCAATTGGTTGAATTTATTCAAGCATTATGAAGCAATACGAGAGTACAGAAAGGTTTCTTATTTATTGGATCAATTTTATTCAACATTTAGCAAAACAATAATATTTTAATTTTTAATTGAAAATATTTCTTAGCTCTCCAAATTATGATAACAAAAGAAGATATTAGCAAAAAAAAAATAATTAAAACCTAATTATTTATCGGAAGCTAATTATTAATCATAAATGATAAGTAAGATTTACTACAGCATGGGACAGTTTTATCAATCAGCTCAGACTATGCGACAACGCATGTATCATTTTGTTACCGGTCTACAAATTATTTCAAGTTTCTTATCATTATTGATATTATGCATTACGTTACCTCTTATGTATAATAATGTTCAAACAACAATTGATTATGTTGATAATGGAATGTTATTCTGTGAGGTAAATTATTCAAAAAATTTTTATTTTTTAAATTAAACAAAGTTTAAGGAATTTACTTAATTTGCTTAATAAATTTTAAAAAAATAAAATCTTAAGGTTTTTTGTTGCATTTGATTTCAAGATATTTGTGAAATACTATTCCTGAATTACAGCATTCAAATGAAGAAGCATTGCTGGAAATAGAACGAGGCAAATCATATAGTGCTTCAAATAGGACGAAACGTCAAACATATGATCAGAATGATGGTTATCAGGTTATTTTCATGATTCCATCCGGATTAATATTCTTGAATATTCGTATATCAATAATCCTTCTCTAGCTTTAGATGTTTGTTAATTATTAGACTATCTTGTAAAAAAATTACAGACATTGAATTCGTTTCAAAAAAATTTTATGACGGATGAAGTAACTGGTACACCGATTGAAACAGAATGTCCAGGTTGCTGTATTCCTGGTCCGCCAGGACCACGTGGTGCAAGAGGTACACCTGGAAAGCCCGGAGCTCCTGGGCCAGCAGGAAAACCTGGCATTCCTGGAACAACTCCAAATCAAACATGCCCAATACAAACAAATCGACCGCTTCCGCCGTGTCGTCCATGCCCAAAAGGTCCTCCGGGTATCAAGGGTTGGCCTGGATTTCCAGGCGATCCCGGTCCAGTTGGCGAACCTGGAGCAAAGGGTAAGTTTTAATTCCGAATTATTTAAAATGTTTCTTCTGAATCATGCTCTAATTCCATTTTTTAATTTTTTTCCAGGTAAAGATGGTGAAGATGGCGAACCAGGTGAACCGGGACCACAAGGTCCGCCAGGTTTTCAAGGTGGTCCAGGTGTGCCAGGTGATAAAGGCCCAACACCAGAAGGTGAACTTAGAGAAGGCCCACCTGGAGATCCAGGACCAGTAGGACCCGTTGGTGCTCCTGGTCTTCCAGGATTACCTGGTCGAAATGGAATGACAGGCCAGTTCATTTTTTCCTTCTAAAAAACTCTTCCATTATATAAATTGTACCTAAAATCAAAAATTGTTAATTTTAGGACCACAAGGCGAACGTGGTTGGCCAGGTTTACCAGGTGAACCGGGTGAGCCCGGATATCCTGGCCCAGAAGGTCCACCAGGTGAACAAGGACCTCCAGGTAAGCTATCTAAACAGTAAAAAAAACTGAATTTTGAACAGACGGGATGCAAATAGAGTATAAATTGAAATGTTTTATTATTACTGAGATAGTAATTATCAAAAAACTTTCTTTTTCCTCCACTAATTTCTTATTGCCAAATTTTCCTCCACCACTTTTTAATTCATTTATCACAATATGTTAATTTACTTTCTAATCTCTTCCTGTTATGCCATTCTTCTTTTTCATGATCTCTTACAAATTTAATTTTAGGCGAACCAGGAATATGTGTTTGTCAGAATGTTAACTCAATTATTCTCGTGAATCCATCTGCTTCTCAACCTCTGCTACCGGAACATGTGGAAATTGATTAACTTGGCAATTAAGACTCAGAAGGTACCCATGAGAAATGCCTTAGTGGAAATGTAGAATGTGGTGGTTAGTTGTAGTAGATTCAGTGGTAGCATTTCTTTAATGTAGTTTTCATTTATATTAGCTTAATGCAGTCTCATTCTTATAGGTCAATATTGACCAAACAACTAAAAAATAGATAAGGCAAAATAAAACAATAGGTCATTTATTAACCATTCCGGAAGGATATCTCATTTTTCACGATGGAATTTGTAATGCAACTCTTAAAAATAATTTGAAAAAAAGGATAATTAAGTTGACGACTATCATTAAGATACTTTAATTTGATTTTAACAATTCGGTTATTCGTTTTTTGACAATTAACTTTAGTAATTTTAAATTATTTGAGAGTGTCACTAAAAGTTTAATGAGAATTAAAGCAGAAAAAAAGGAATTCTACCTTAATTCAGTATAAATTTAATAATAATTAAATTTTACACTGCCCATATGCATTCCTTAGAAGGCAACCATCATACGATATTGTATGAATACAATCGTCTATTTCAGTGATTTTTAATTTCTTCATTGTTTTAAATGTGATATATTTAAATTATTTATTTGTTTATTCATGTCATCTATTCGCGTTACTCAATCAAATAGGTTCCAGTAAATTAGTTTAACTGAAATAGGTCACTTAAAAAAGATAAATGATATCATTTGCACCATCGTCGTTGTAGAAGTTCGACAGTAATGTGTAATTCTGAGATAAATTATATAAATTGTACAGTTTTAAAACAACCCATAAATTTTTGCAAATTCTATCAAAAACTATTTTAGAATAAATATTTTTACAGCAACTTCAAAATGTATAGTTAGTAAATTTTAGAAAATCGATTTTTAAATAATTTTTTAATTCCAATATTTGCATGGATAATATTAATCAAATTAATGTTCAAATCATAAATTTAATTATTTGAAAATATAGAAATGTTTTTGCTTTAGCTACGAATAGTTTCAGCAATTATAACAATGTATAGGAATTGTTAATATCATTAATAAATCTTTTCTTGTTTATATCACTACATTTCGAATGATAGATATATTTTGTATTTCAATTTTCATTTTCTCATATGGCGAGTTATCATTTTGTTGGAAGCTTTGATGAAACCAATATTTTAAACTGTTAATATCACGATACACTTCTCATCTCAATATTGCAAATATTCCTAATGTATCGCGTAAATTTAAAAATTCATTTCCTTAAAATTTATTAATTGAAATTAATAAACAAAAAGCGGAAATAATTGTTCTATGCGTTCTTACTTTATTCTTCAAAAGAAAACAATACGAAAATTGAATTTTTAAAGTTTACAAATTTTTCAAAATTTATATTAAAATGCAAATATTAAGAGATAACTTTTCACCGTTGTTAAAACAATAATAATAATTATTGTGAATTTATTGTGTTTGAAAAAATTTTCATCAATTTTTTACAAATAAATAAATTTGTTATTTACAATATTTTTGGCACAATTAAGTCAAAATAAATTTGTAATTATTTCATTCTTCATTACAACAACTTTTTCAATTCAGACATTGAATTGGATTTTATATTCGATGGCGCTTTATCCAATTTTACTTCCATATTTGCAACATTGATTCTTTCGTTTATTTGTAATGTTAGTATTAAACCTGGAAAAAGAAGTTATTGTTTTTATTATTCATTGCAAATAATTTAATACTAATATCAATAATCGATTATTTGTATTTAAGAAGGTTTTAATTTCAACTTATTAAAAAGCTTATTTTAATTTAAATTTTATAACCTGTAACGAAGATTAGAATATATGCGTAAAATCCTTCATGTATAGCCGAGTAGAGACGTTGCTTCATTTGTATGCAACGTAAATTTGTAGTAAGCACTCCGATCATTATAGAAAGTTGCAAAAGCTGCCAGACTGTCCGATTATTATTACGAAAGCCAGAAGTACTAAAAAAAATACTCTACGAATTTTTTCTCTGAACTTCTACAAAATTTTCTTCCCTTCTCTTCCCGTTTTTATAAACAAGCTAACATTAAGAAGATCCATATAATGATAACAATAAGAGCGGAGTAAATGATACGCTCTGTATAGCCGCAAACTGATAATTGATGTTGAAAGATGTCGCCAGCTGATTTAGTACTAAGTTCCAAATCAATTTTTTGATTCAATGACCTGAAATTCTTTTTCCTTCATTATGAAAACACAAAAATAATCTATAAATTGACCAAAGTTTATTTTTATTAAAAATAAACATTCTAAATCCTAAATTATACAAAATTAAAAAAGCATTTCAGGATGGCTACTTCAATCAAATATGAAAATTTAATTTCATAATTTAAATGATTTTAAACTACAAAATTTTCAAATAAGTTAATTGATTTCTAAATTTTGATTAATTGTAACTAATTAGTTACTTCAGAAATTTCAATTTTCATTAAAATTTTATTTTCTTTCATTAAATTTTTGAATTAATTAACAGTTCATCTAAAATCGATTGAAAATACACAAAATTTTAACGAGTTAAATGATTTACTCAATAAAAAATTTCACATTTTAAATTTGTTTCCATCCTCTAATAACTCTCAGTAATTAAAATTTTAATTACAGTAAGCTAACAAATGTAATAGAAATTAGAAAAGCCAACATAAGGCTAATAGTCATTGATTTTTTAGAAAAGGTTTTATTTTAGGTTTTGATTAATTAAAAAAAAGGCTGCATTCTGTAATAAAAGGTGCAAAATTATATGAAAATGCTTAGATTAAATAATTGGACTGAAAAAAGAGGAAATTTTAAAAGTCAATTAATAAAATATACCAAATGTATCCATGAATCCAAACTGGAGTGAATAAGAAGTCGAATATTTGATAATTAAAAAATAAAGCAATTAAGAGTCGAAAGCAAAAATTAATACGTTGTCGAATGATTGCTTCAGTTGGTGATATTTTTTCAGGTGGCAATAAATATTCCATTATTTGCCAAATCACCTGAAATATTTCAAAAAATAATTACACAATTGAAGATATTTTTGCCTTCAATTAAGAGAATTGAAACTCTTTGGGACTTCTCTTTGAGGTGGTCATTCATTCATAAAGAATAGGTCAAATGTTGGATAATTAAAAATAAAGCAAAAAAAGTAATTAAAAATAATCATTCAATACATATTATCACTACTACTACTGTAACCACAAATATCATTCTTACTCGGCGAATATTGCAGCGAATATTTTGATAAGATATGATAAAATATGACAGTTTAGTTTCCTTATTTAAAAAAACCTTTGAAATTTTATCTTAACATCGCTGAAATGCTAACATACTAAAAGTCATTTAATACTTAATTTTATCTAAAAATTAGATATATTTTTAGACTTCAAATATAACTGATCAAATGTTTAGGTGTAGAAAGATTTATTGATAATCTTATCGATAATTGATAAAAATTTTGCATATTTTATATTTCTAAACTATCTTCTCTTATTTTATTTCAAAATTTTTAGAACATCAGACAATATGATTTTTAAAATTTTATTCCAATTTTGTGCGAATAAAGGAAAGGCAAAATGATCGTTGAATGCGTTGAAAAGTTCTTGTATTACACAGAAAATTTTCAAGGACGTCCTAAATTTTGAAGCATTGTATTTAATATTGGCACATTGGAAGGGTCGAAATACTCCAATACCTCTAAAATGAGGAAGAAAAATTTTAATCCATAAATAATATGCATTTATATCAAATTCATTAAATAATATAGTAGTGATGATAGTATGTTATGATATGATACGATATAAATTAATCGTTTCGTAACATTCGTTTTTCAATGAAATAAATAAAGGGAAAAATTTATTTGAAGATATTTGTTTCCGATATTTGGAATGAATTGCATCTATTTGACCTCATTTTTTTTTAATTGAAATAGTTCACTGTTTATAAATTATAAGACAATCTGATAGTGTAATTTAAATTTTGCACTTTAATAGGAATCCAAAATCCTACTTATTAAAATAATGATTTCATGAAATTTAGTAGATTTAGAGCAAATATTGAAAATTACGTAGAAATTGTCATTAGCGGATTTTCCTAAAATACTAAAAGAAACGGTAAAGAATAATGGAAAGGTAAAAAAGTTATGATATGAGTGTGTTAGACATTTATCGATCTGTTCATCCATCATTATTTACTTCATGAAATTTAATTTATTTACTTTTATTTGATTATTTCATTTTCAATTTTTTTGAGTTTAACATTTTTTGTTATATTAAATCATGTATTTATTTATTTTGAAACTCAATAAATTCATAAAATCAGTTCAATTTAGCAATATAAATAATTATATTTAAATTTGGGAATAATTAAGAAAATGAATAAGAAAGATTAATTGTTAAATTAACTGTTCATAGAGCAATCAATTTTTAAAAATATCAATAAACAACTTTAATTAATACTCACTATTTATTTGTAAATTAGCTAAATTATCATCATATTTCCAAGGTCTGATAAATGAAATGCAAATATAATTCGGTTAATACTTTTTCAATTTCCCATTTAAAAATTTTAAATCTTAATTTGCTTAATTTTCAAGCTTTTAAATAAAACAATGTATAATAAATCAGTAAAACTCGAAGATCAAAGAATAACGATTACTATTGGATTTTTATAAAATTATTTTATTTCATCTTTGATCCAATACTTTCGTTGAAGTACGTAGAAGTTATACATTTCACGCAGTTGTTGAAATACGTAGAAACTATATATTTCACGTAGTTATTCCGAATGAACATTTGTAATGAATATTTGCTTATTTCCTTGTTGTAATCTATCCTTGTCAACATCATAGGATATTTTTTAAGAAATTTCTAAGAAATTTTTAAAAAAGAATTTGAAGATTTAAAAAATAAGCCTTGTAGGAAGGATAATTGATACTGATAATATGCTCTTTAAAATATTTCTTTTATTACAAACTTAATGAATCATTTTTAAAA